TGCAATGGCGCCATCTCGCTCACAGCAACCCCCGCCTCCCGGGTTCAAGTAATTCTCCTGCCTCAGCCTCCCGAGTAGCTGGGATTACAGGGGCGCGCCACCACGCCCAGTTAATTTTTGTATTTTTAGTAGGGACGGGATTTCACTATGTTGGCCAGGATGGTCGCAATCTCTTGCCTACCTCGTGATCCGCCTGCCTCGGCCTCCCGAAGTGCTGGGATTACAGGCGTGAGCCACGGCGCCGGGCCTCTTTCCTCCCCTCTCTACTCCAGGCTCCAAGATCAGCCCTGGCAGCAGCAGTGTAAGGGTCCCAGGCCTCGCCTGGGTGGGATGGAACAAGGCTCCCCTTCTCCCGGGCTCTCCCAGGGTTGCTCACAGCGCCGGGTGGCAGGGAAGAGGAACCGCAGGAGCTTCCCCTTCCCAGAGGAATTCCTGGGAGGAGAGGGGCCAGGAGAGCGTAACATGGCGCCCCCAGGTTTCCCACAGGCCCCCTCCTGTAGACCAGCTGGCCTTTCCTCAGGGACGACTCAAAGTCCAATTTGAAGAGCTCTCTGGGGACATTCCTCTCCCTGGGTGGTGGTATTCTGGGGAGCGGATGTGAACTTTCTCGAAGGGGAGAGGTGTAAACCCCCAGCATCCTGCTACCACCCCCAGCCCCCATCACCCTTCATTCCCCAAGTGCAGGCTGGGGGCAGAGGAGTGGGAAGGGGATTAGGTGCTGGGACCGGGGAACCGAGAGACCCAGGGTGTCGCAGCTGACAGCAGCGGGACCCGCATCGCTGGAGGGAGCCCGAGCCGCGCCGCCGCGGCGCTGACGCTGCCATCTGGCTGGAGGGCCCCACGCTTTCCCTGACCAGAGGTCACAGCCTCACTGCCCACCCAGAAGGCAGCCCCGGGACGCCCCCTGCGGCCTGGGTTTTCTCCACCCTGTCCCCGCGCCCACCCCAGCGGCTGCACCGCGTCGTACAAAGGACGGCTGGGCCGACGGAAGCACTGCGCGGGCCTGCGCTGGGTCCGGCCTGGAGACCGGATCCGGGGCTTCCGGAAAGCCCCAGGGTCCCCGCGAACCCACCGGCCCGCGGCCACTTGAGCATTTATGGTAATGTTTGGGTTGGAGCGAGCGGCCGGATCCCCGCCCCCTGCCTCCGCCGGGCGGGACCTCGGAGCCGGCTCCTGGGGAGCTTAGCGCCGGCGCCTTCCCGCCGCGGCCAGGTCCCCCGGGCGGAGGCCCTGGGTGCCGGAGGGCTGAGGTCCGGCAGGTGGGCTGGCCCCGTGCGGAGGCTCCTAGGGCCAGGGGGTACCAGAAGGACAGTCCCCAGTCGGTCGGAGGAGGGGTCCGCGGGGTTGGGGGCTCCGATGGGAGGGCTATGATCCCCCTCAACCAACCCCACCCACCCACTGCTGCCCACCCAACCTCCGCCTCTGGCTTAAGAGTCCATCATCCCCAGGAAGAGTCCCAATGCCTCCACATCCTCTTCTGCTCTCCCCCCACTCCCTGGCAGGGAAGAGGCCAGCAGCTCCCAGGGGAGTCGTCGGAATGCTGGGAGCCTGGGAACAGACCCTGCGGTCCCTGGGAAAGACAGGCTGTGGGAATCCCACCGTCTGCCCCCTCCCCATGATGGGCCACCGGATGTCAGAGACCCTAGTTCCCCAACAGGGGACTTTGTGAGGGTGGGCCCCGCCCCCCAGTCAAAGCCCCAGCCGGCTCGACCCCAGAGTTCAGTAGGCCAGCTGTGACGAAGTCAGCCCTCCCCCGCTCTCCGCCCTCCACCCCCTGCTTGTTCCAACATAATCCACACCATTGTGCCCGTTGCCCCCTCCCCCTGCTCCCCCTCTCTAGACCCCTGTACAATGGGGCCTTTGCAGCCTCTAGAATGGAGATGAACTCACGGTTTTTCCAAGTTTAAAAATAGCCCCTCCCATCCCCCAGAAGGCCACCCTCCCTCTCTCCCATGGTGTTGTGGGTGCACCTTCATCCCGGCTGTGCCTCCTTCCTCCTGCCCTGGGTCAGGTGCGAAGGACATGGGCGAGACAGCGTCCGGCGGGAGTGGGGCTGCTTCCCCCCTTTCAATCTCTTCCCCCTCCTCTTCCACCCCCGCAGTACAGTATCCGGTTTCCTGCCCCCTACCCTCCTCCACCCTGTTTTCACTCCTTCATTACAATCTTCTCCTACTCACACCCCCATTCTGGAAAAATTCTCCAACTTCCCCCGGGAAGACCCAGGCCAGATCCTATTCTCTGGCCTGGCCAGGGGGTTCCCCAGCCTTGATAACTGCCAAGATTGTTGGGACGCCCCCACCCCCATGTCCTCAATGCAGCGGCAAACACCTCTTTATCAGCTTCCTTCCTCGACCCAGCCCACCTTTCTCATATCCTTCTGGTCAAGGCCCCTGGATTCAGAAGGGTGGGTCGGAAGTCACTAAGTTCCCTATGCAGGAGCCGAGAGAGGACACTTGGGTTCCAGTCTTCCCCCTTCGTGACCTCTGGGAACAGGTCCATCCTTGTCTTTTTGCCTCCAACTTCCCAGGGTGCCACTTCTCCTTACTGTGAGCTGAAAAGCTCCACCCACCCAGAAGACTGTGGCCGAGGAGCCCAACTAGGACCCCACCCCACCTGGCCTCAGTTTCTCCACCTGTGGTCAGACCTATACCAGAGACATGCAGAGGCCAGTACTCGTAGGAGGGTCGCCTCATGTCTGAGGGGCCTGGGTCTACCGTGGGGCTGGAGGAAAGCAGCCTTTTTGCCTGCTCCCCACAGGGAAAAAAGAATTAGAAACTTGCCCCCAGGGCCTCTTCTAGCCCTGGCCTACATCTGAGCCAGGCTCTTCCAACCCAGTCACAGTGCTGGGTCTCTGCTGGGTGGAAGGCATGACCACCTCCTCCAGCTCCCTTCTGCTGGGTGTCAGTCCTGTCCTGTCGTCAGCCCCTTTTCTCTCCTGCTGCTGCTGGAGTGCTAGCCTCCGGGCTCTAAGAGGAGCTGAGGGCTGATCCCCTTCGCCTTCCGCTCCCTCCACTCTGCTCCCTGCCTCCACTCCTGGTCCTTTCTGTCTCCCTTCCCCTCTTGAGTCCTCTCCTAGGTCCTGATCTTGGAGGTCAGGGAATCCCAAAGTGCTCCCCTCAAGACACCATCCCAAAGCTATCTGTCCCCTAAGGCTACAATCCCCTCCCGAGCAGCCTAGACAGCTCCAGACTACTGGCTTCCTTAAAGGACAGTCTTCTGTGCTTGTTTGGTGGGCCATGCAGGGGAGGGGACGACAGCCTGGGTTCTAACCTCATTTCCCTTTCACTGCAGAGACAAATCCTCCACCCCCACCTGGCTTCAGTCTCCAGCGGAAGAAGAATTCAGAACTGACTGTCCTTGGTGGTTAGCTGGCTTTGTTTTCAGGCCAGAGAGGCGAATGATTAGTTAATGGTGTTAAGTGAAGGAAGGGGGGTTGGGCAGGGAAGCCAGCTCCATGCTCAGCCCTGGCCTGCCAGGGCACACAGCACCCTTCAGCCATTCCCACTCCAGCCCAGCAGACAAAACATTCTCATCCATTCAGCTCTGGGCCCATGGCCAGTCCATACATTCACTCTGGAGGGGGAGCCAGGGTCCTCCTCTTGTTTTCCCTGAAGGCTCCAGGCTGCAGCCCTGGCGGGCCTGGCTTTGCATGGCCTCTGGCTGGAGACCAATGGCCATGGAGGAGGGGTCGGCAAAGCTCTGAAAGACAAAGCTGGTGTGGTTTGCCAGTCATCTCTGCGTCATCCAAACGCCACCCCGGAGCATGCTCTCAAGTCACCTGGCCATCTCCAGGGTTTGCTGCCTCACCCTCCACATCCCCCAACCAGCAGAGGGGTGGCCCTGGGCAACAGACCTCCGCCCAAATCCAGGCCCCTATTTGGCACTCCCTGTTGAAGGCGCCCCAGCAGATGTGGACCCTTTTTCTGAGGCCAAGCTGCCCGGGTCTCTGTGAGGCAAGAGTCCCTCCCCACCAAAGCAGAGGCCAGAAGACCCAGAGAGAAGTCGGGGTTTGGGGAGAAGGGTAGGGCTGCCCACCCAAGCAGAGCTGATTTGATTCCTCCCCCAGCTATGGACTCTCAGTCAATAGGGCTGGGGAAGACATGGGGTGGGGGGAAATCAGTGCTGCCGGGACCCTTTCAATCATCAGGAGCAGCAACAGGTTTGCAGGGTCAGGCTGGGGACCCTCACCCATGAGCTCTTTCTTCTCCCTGTTTCTTTCTGGTAGGTGAAGGGAAACTGAGTCCCAGGGTAGGCTCCAGAGTGAAGAGGGAAGAAACATGATTCTCAAGGCCCAGGCCTGGACAAGTGTGAACACCTTGGGCCTGTGAATTCAGCCCCCTCCTTCCTTTCTCTGGTCAAAAGCTGGACTTGCAGGAGCTTGGGTGTGAAGGGACAGCCCAGAGGGCACCGTCTCCACTCCCCATACAGGTACCTCTGGGTCTGTGGGACTGGCGCAGCGTTCTTCCCCCAAAGCTGCCAGTACTGTGAGCCTCAGGGGCAATGCCAGACCGGTGGCAGCAGCAGTGGTGCAATCATTCTGGGAAGCGATCGAGGCCGGCCCGAATTCTCTGTGGCAGGGGAGGGGAGCCGGAGTGGGAGGGCCCTTGGGGACACTGAGGACCAGGTCCGCTCCTGCTCCTCCCCCAGGAGGTCCCCCAGGCGCTACATTGATTGGCAGGGGCTGAGCAGAGATAAGCCGGGCTGGTTTCGATCCCGGGCGACTCCAGGCATCCGGGCCAGCTTCTCCCCGCCACCACCTCCGCCAGTCAGACCCCGAGACACCTGTCACTGCCCCCTCAGCCTTCCCAAGCCGGGGGCCTGGGAGTCCGTCTCCGGCCTACCTCCGGCAGCGCTCCTGGGCGCAGCTCCCGGGCTGGCGGCGCCGGGGCCCGCCCCCTAGGGCTGCGGCGCGCGGGGCGGGGGCGGGGGGCTGCGCGGGGCGGGGCGGCACGGGCGCTCCGGGCCCCCTCCCCCGCCCCCCTGACGTCAGCCCCCGGCAGCCGCGAGCTGCTCACTTGGCTCTCGCCCTCCGACCGGGAAGCATGGGCCTGCCCAGGCTGATCTGCGCCTTCTTGCTCTACGCCTGCTGCTGCTGTCGCCGCGCCGCGGGTGAGTGAGTTCGCAGGGGGGCCAGGAACGTGCCAGGGAGCAGAGCCAGCGGCGCGGCGAGGTCGGGGCATCGCGCCCGGGAGGATGCGCCTCCTTCTCGGGTCCCCGAGCCCCCGGCGCCTTTTGCGCATGCAACTCTTCTTTGCAGCCAGTTTGCAGCCTCGATCCTAGAGTATCCCGGGAGCAGCACTGGGAAGGCGGGGAGGAGGCTGCAGCTGGGAGCGGGAAGGGGTGGAGCCCAGCCTCTCAGGGCGCTGGGGGGAGTCGTCCCTCAGGTGCTCACTCTGGGGTCCCGGAATTGGAGCGGGGCAGGAGGCGCAGCTGGGGCGCATCCCCAAAGGCTGAATTCTGCGCTCGCCTGTTGCTGGAAAAGGCAGTTTCCTTCGCTGGAGGGGGCGCGCCGTCCCACCCCTTCCCCCTCCCGCCTGGGCATCACGCCAGGCTGGAGGTGAGCGAGAGCGGGAGGTTCGGCGGCTCCCGCCCGAGCTGGGCGTTGGCAGGGGTTGCGGGGCGGTGTGGGTCGCCTCGCGCCTCCCCGAGTGACGGGATCATAGGGGACAGAGATGAGGGTTGGAGGATTCCCAGACTGGAAGCGCCCGCTGGCCTATTTTGGGGACTGCATTCAGGTGGGAAGAGCGCCTGGGCACCTCGGAGCGTTTCTCTGGATACGCCTGGTAGCTGGGCGCACTCGGGTCCACGCTGCCCTTGTATGGCCCGCAGCGGTGTCGCGTGTTTTCTTTTGGCTCCCATTCCGCCGTCCCAGCCGCTGTCCGGCTAGGGAAGGGGAGGGCTAGGCAATACCCAGCTCGCTGGCCTCGTGCCCAGTGCCAACCACGTCCCTGGGGTATTCCAGGCTACTGCCTCCCTGGCTGACTTTATTTCTGGGGAAAGGGCTAAATCGGGCACCATAGTTACAGCTGGTCCAGCCCCACCCTGCCCTGCTCTTCTAGCTCTGGGAGAAGGAGTCAGGGGTCTGAGACTCGGAGTTGGAGAACCCTCCACCTACCCTTCTCGTCCGGGAGCCAGAGCAACAACCCAGGCATCCCAGAGTCCAGGCAGATGGTGTCGAGTGACATCACCTCCTCACAGGGCTGGCAGCACGCTGGCACCACTGACGTCACTCCTGCCCACTGCCTGGCCCTTGCCCTGACCCCTGGGGTAGACTCTGACCTCTCCATCCTTACCAGCTTCCCCGGGTGGGGTCCCCAGGTGTGTGTGGAGTGTTCATGGAGGTGCTGCTGAGGGAGCATGAGACAGGAACTTCCGCCAGAGTTAGCCTGCTGGGTCTTGTGGGATAGGGCAGAGATTTTGGAGGGCAGATGGTAGAGTAGTGGTGTCTTTCCCTGAGGGTGGTGACACAAAGGGGCTTGTGTGCCCCAGCCTGGCACACGCCTTGCATTCCCACACTCTGAGCTCACCCGGAGAGGATGGGGCCTGGAAGGAAAGGGGCCTTCCTTTTGGCCCAGAGCCTAGGTCGCCCCTCTCTGCCCCTCTACCAGCCTCAGCTGGAACTGCTCAGTGCTCAGTCTCTGCTGGGCTTCAAGGACCTGGGGTCTCCTGGATGGGGAGAGGCTGGCCTGGGTGGGGCGCGGGTGGGGGAGTCGAGCGTTCAGAGGACAGGGCCCTCTGCAGACCCTCTGAGTGGCAGGAAGAACAGCTGCAGCAGCGTTGGAGAGAAGGATAGACAGCAGCCAGAGCTGACACAGCTGTGGGGCCCCGCCTCCCTTCCCCAGGTGTGCCCGGAGAGGCTGAGCAGCCTGCACCGGAGCTGGTGGAGGTGGAAGTGGGCAGCACAGCCCTTCTGAAGTGCAGCCTCTTCCAGTCCCAAGGCAACCTCAGCCATGTCGACTGGTTTTCTGTGAGTGTTGGGCTCCCGTGAGAGCAGTCCGGCAGGTGTGGGGGGTGGGGGAGAGGCTCTGCCCCTGCTGTAGCCCAGGACCCTCTCCTCCTCTGTATCCCTTCCCCATAGGTCCACAAGGAGAAGCGGGTACTCATCTTCCGCGTGCGCCAGGGCCAGGGCCAGAGCGAACCTGGGGAGTACCAGCACCGGCTCAGCCTCCAGGACAGAGGGGCTACTCTGGCCCTGACTCAAGTCACCCCCCACGACGAGCGCATCTTCTTGTGCCAGGGCAAGCGCCCTCGGTCCCAGGAGCACCGCATCCAGCTCCGCGTCTACAGTGCGTGCCCCCCGGTCTGCCTGCTGGGTAGTGAGGGTGGTGGGACGCGGTCCCATGTCCCTCTCATTTCTCTTTTCTTGTAGAAGCTCCAGAGGAGCCAAATATCCAGGCCAATGCCCTGGGCATCCCTGTGAACAGTAAGGAGCCTTCGGAGGTGAGCTGTGCGGCGGGTGGGATGTGCAGCTGAGGTGGGGCTGGCAGGGTCTTGGAAGCAGGGAGACTCACACCCTGTCCTCCTTAGGTCGCTACCTGTGTGGGGAGAAATGGGTACCCCATTCCTCAAGTCATTTGGTACAAGAATGGTCGGCCTCTGAAGGAGGAGAAGAACCGTGAGTATCCCTTTCTGCTCCCCAAAACCACACTTGGGCCTGGTGTGGTGGCTCACATCTGTAATCTCAGCGCTTTCGGAAGCCAAGGCAGGGGGATCTCTTGAGGCCAGGAGTTTGAGACCAGCTTGGACAACATAGAGAGACTCTGTCTCTAGCGAAAATAAAAATATTAGCTAGGTATGGTGGTGTGTGCCTGTGGTCCCAGCTACTTGGGAAGCTGAGGCAGGAGGATGATATGAGCCCAGGAAATGGAGGCTGCAGTGAGCAGGACTGTGCTACTGCACTCCAGCATGGGTGACAGAGTGAGACCCCATCTCTTAAAAAAATAAAAATAAATAAAAGGCACCCAGCCCTTTCAAGCCTATTTCTATATATTCGCTCATACATATAAATATTTTTAAGCCAGGCGCTCACGCCTGTAATCCCAACACTTTGGGAGGCTGAGGCAGGTGGAGTTTAAGACCAGCCTGGCCAAAATGGTGAAACCCCATCTCTACTAAAAATACAAAAATTAGCCCGGTGTGGTGGCGGGCTCCTGTAATCCCAGCGACTTGGGAGGCTGAGGCAGAAGTTGCAGTGAGCCAAGATCACACCACTGCACCCCAGCCTGGGCAACAGAGTGAGACTCCATCTAAAAAAAAAAAAAAAAAAACTCTAGAACGATATAGGCTTTTGTTTTTTATTTTCTAAATCAGTTGTTCTTAACCAGGGGTGATTTTGTATCTCCTGCTCCTAGGAGAACTTGGCAGTGTCTGGAGCTAGTTTTGGTTGTCACACATAGAGGGGGTGCTACTGGCATCTGGTGGGTGGAGAGGCCAAGGATGCTGCTTACATCCTGGAGCTCACAGGACAGCCCCCACAGTGAAGAGTCAGTGTGGCCTGAGACATCGATAGTGCAGAGAAACCCTGACTAAGTGGTGCTGTATGGTATACATTGTTAGACCGTGTCTTTTGTACAGTCTTTCTGGGTTTGTCTATTTAGATCAACTGATCGCTTTGGCTACTGCTGAGGCTTCCACACTATGTGTAGCGTGCAGCCGAGTTCACCATTCCCCAGTTAGTGGGCTCCAGACGGCTGCACATTTTTATCACTGCAGCATTCTTTGCACACTTCCCTGGATATGTGCCGAGATGTAAATGTTTTTCTAGGGTTGACCCAGAGCAGTGAAGGTGCTGGGTTGAAGGGTTTCTAGCCTGCATTTGTACCTGGTCCTCTACAGGGGACAGGGGACTCTTTAGATGGTCCCCTGCCAACCCTGGTAGACAGCCCCAGGGTGAGGTTGGAGGTGGGGCTGAGGCTGTCTTCCTCCTCTTCCTCCCTGCCTAGGAGTCCACATTCAGTCCTCCCAGACTGTGGAGTCGAGTGGTTTGTACACCTTGCAGAGTATTCTGAAGGCACAGCTGGTTAAGGAGGACAAAGATGCCCAGTTCTACTGTGAGCTCAACTACCGGCTGCCCAGTGGGAACCACATGAAGGAGTCCAGGGAAGTCACTGTCCCTGTTTTCTGTGAGTACTGACCTGACTCTCTGCTCACTGGGCTGGGGCTGCTGGAAGCTCCCGCTGGCCCCTCCCTATCCAGCCCAGGGCTGACTCCATAGGCCAAGAGCTACTACCCCCTTTGCCTCTGCAGACCCGACAGAAAAAGTGTGGTTGGAAGTGGAGCCCGTGGGAATGCTGAAGGAGGGGGACCGTGTGGAAATCAGGTGTTTGGCTGATGGCAACCCTCCACCCCACTTCAGCATCAGCAAGCAGGTTTGTGCTGGGTGCAAGCAGAGACCCAGGTTGGAGTGGCAGGAGGTGCACTCTGCTCACCTCCCCAATCCTCTCCCAGAACCCCAGCACCAGGGAGGCAGAGGAAGAGACAACCGTCGACAACGGGGTCCTGGTGCTGGAGCCGGCCCGGAAGGAACACAGTGGGCTCTATGAATGTCAGGGCCTGGACTTGGACACCATGATATCATTGCCGAGTGAAGCGCAGGAACTGCTGGTGAACTGTGAGGGGCTGGGGACCCAGGACAGGGGGACCAGGCTGGGGCCATAGGGAACTGGCCCTGCCCTCCCAGGTGACATGATTGCTGTACCCCTAGACGTGTCTGACATCCGAGTGAGTCCCGCAGATCCTGAGAGACAGGAAGGCAGCAGCCTCACCCTGACCTGTGAGGCAGAGAGTAGCCAGGCCCTCGAGTTCCAGTGGCTGAGAGAAGAGGTACCCAGGCGGGGCTGGGCAAGGGGCTGATGGGTGGGTGGGGCCGGGGGTGACAAGGGTTTGCTCTTTCCCAGATCCTCTGACCCATCTCTCACCCCAGACAGGCCAGGTGCTGGAAAGGGGGTCTGTGCTCCAGTTGCACAACCTGAAACGGGAGGCAGGGGGCGGCTACCGCTGTGTGGCATCTGTGCCCCGCATACCCGGCCTCAACCGCACACAGCTGGTCAACGTGGCCATTTTTGGTGAGACCCTCCCTCTGGGCAGAGACCGGGTCACTCCAAGTGGGGTTGTTTTAAGCTCTTTGACAAAAAGCCACCTGCTGCCCTGGGGCACTCTGGCGGGGAAGGGGAGGCAGGCTAGCCGGGCTTGCCACCTCACCCCTCCCTACCTCCTCAAGGCCCCCCTTGGATGGCATTCAAGGAGAGGAAGGTGTGGGTGAAAGAAAACACGGTGTTGAACCTGTCTTGTGAAGCGTCAGGGCACCCCCGGCCCACTATCTCCTGGAACGTCAACAGCACGGTGAGCAGATGTCTCTGCCATGCTCTCCTCATCCCTGCCTGGACTTTGCGGCCAGGACCAGAGATCCTCCCCATTCCCTGAGCTGCCCGCTTCCTTTCCTTGCAGGCAAGTGAACAAGACCAAGATCCACAGCGAGTCCTCAGCACCCTGAATGTCCTCGTGACCCCAGAGCTGTTGAAGACAGGTGTCGAATGCACGGCCTCCAACGACCTGGGCAAAAACACCAGTGTCCTCTTCCTGGAGCTGGGTGAGGCCCACATCCCTGCAGGGGATGGCAGGGGCAGGCCCAGGCACGGGCAGTAACTTGCGCTTCTCCTAACCCCCCTCCCTCTGCCTCCTAGTCAATTTAACCACCCTCACACCAGACTCCAACACAACCACTGGCCTCAGCACTTCCACTGCCAGTCCTCATACCAGAGCCAACAGCACCTCCACAGGTAAGCCAGGCCTGGCAAGAGAACAGGGCCGTGCCAGGGCAACCTTTTTGCCCTGTCCCTCCTCAGAGAACCCTGTCCAGAAAGGTGTGTAGCAGCCCCATCTTCTGTTGGCTCTGGACTGGCTGGGGCAGCGATGGTGACAGGGTGGCCTCGAGCAGGCAGTGACAAGGAGTGTCTTTGTGGCGCAGAGAGAAAGCTGCCAGAACCGGAGAGCCAGGGCGTGGTCATCGTGGCTGTGATTGTGTGCATCCTGGTCCTGGCGGTGCTGGGTGCCGTCCTCTACTACCTCTACAAGAAGGGCAAGCTGCCGTGTGGGCGCTCAGGCAAGCAGGAGATGTAAGCCCAGCACCAGCCCTCCGCCCCCACCTGTCCTGCCGCCTAGCCTGCTGCCTGCCCAGCACCTGCCTGCCCCTTGAGAGCAGGAGTGGGGCCCTGGGCTGGGGTATCCCTGCTCCACTGCCCACTGCCCAGCTTCCATCAGCCACACGGTCTCATGACCTGCTTCCCTGCCCTGGAGCAAGGAACCCTCATCCATCCCACATCCTTCACAGCAGGCCCTTCCCTTCCTGTGGCCCCAAGGTGCCAACCTCTCGCCTCCCTCCCTCCTCCCAGCACGCTGCCCCCGTCTCGTAAGAGTGAACTTGTAGTTGAAGTTAAGTCAGATAAGCTCCCAGAAGAGATGGGCCTCCTGCAGGGCAGCAGCGGTGACAAGAGGGCTCCGGGAGACCAGGTAGGAGGCGGTTCCTGTGGCCAGAGCCTGCCACATCCTCAGGGACCGGGGGCAGCAGGGCTAACAGTTCTAACTCTATCCTTCATCCCTCTTTGTTGGAGATAGGGAGCAGGCCCCCTCTTGCCTTCTTAACACTACTCACAGATGGCAGGGCCAGGCAGGTGGCCGAGGGAGCTGCAGGAAGACTGAGAAAGACCTGTCCCATCACCATCACCTTTTCCTGACCAATGCCCATGGCTCTGTGTGGCCATTTCACCAGTGCAGTCAGACGGGGGCCACCTCCTTCGCTGGCCTGCCATGCCCATCCTCGCTTCCTCCCCAAGGCTGCCGCACCGAGTTCATCAGCTTCTGCTTCCATCTCTCCTTCCTCAGTGCTCACACCTTCAACTCTGAGCACCATCTCCGTGTTCCCCTCTTCTCCTCTACCCACTTTTAGGGAGAGAAATACATCGATCTGAGGCATTAGCCCGGAATCACTTCAGCTCCCTTCCCTGCCTGGAACTTTCTCGGCTCCTTGCTCGCTCCTTGCAGTCAAAGCCTTCAAAGGGACTAGACAGAAACCTCCTGCTCCCCTCGCCAGCACACCCCCTTTCAGAGGGCCACTGGGTTAGGACCAGAGCTGACCTGAGGACCTCACCTGCCCCTGGAAGGCCTGCTTTTCAGGGACCAATCCACCACCATCTCCACGTTGAGTGAAGCTCATCCCAAGCGAGAGGCCTGTCTCCCGAGTGGGTAGGAGAGTTTCTTGCAGAACGTGTTTTCTCTTTACATATTATGGGCTTAAATACCTGGCTCCTGCCAGCAGCTGAGCTGGGTAGCCTCTCTGAGCTGGTTTCCTGCCCCAAAGGCTGGCTTCCATCATCCAGGTGCGCCACTGAAGTGAGGATGCACTGGAGCCAGGCGCCTGCTCATGTTGAAGTGCGCCGTTCACACAGGCTTCAGAGAGCACCCCAGCAGCATCCAGAAGCAGCTGCAGTGTTACTTCTGCCACCCTCCTGTCTGCCTCTTCAAAGTCTCCTATGACATTTTTTCTTTGGGCAGAAGCTAGGAACTGGTATCATTCCTTAAAAAATAATGTGCCTGCAGTGAGGAAGCTGGGCATTGTTTTTGAGTTCAAGTGAATTAGCCTCAAACCCCCGTGTTCACTTGGCTCCCATGGCCCTCTTGATGAATCACGTAAAACTGAAAGGCTGGGGGGGAGTGGACAAAGATGAGGTCTACACTGTCCTTTATGGGGATTAAAGCTATGGTTATATTAGCACCAAATTTCTACAAACCAAGCTCATGGGCCCCAACCCGCGGATAAGGGCCCAAATGAGAGAATGGTACTTAGGGATAAAAGTACCAATGGACGGGCCTGGCTAGAGCTTTGGGGTGTGCGTGTGTGTCTGTGTGTGTGCACACGTATGTGTGTATATATGGTTTTGTCAGGTTGTGTGTAAATTTGCAAATTGTTTCCTTTATATATGTGTATATATATTATATATATATATATATATGAGAAAAATAAAGCTTAATTGTCCCAGACACCTTACATTGCTTTTTATTCCTTCCTATGCTTTCCTGCCACTTAGAATTGCCCTTGAGACAGCAGTTCAGGTCACACCATGAGAAAGTGGCCTTGGCATTTGGTCCTACGGCAACTTGTGTATTGCCTCCCAACCCCCTGAATGAGCAAGAACTCAAGTCAGCTACAACAAAAGAAACTTTATTTAAAAATATTTTTTTTTACAGACATGGGTGCTTGAAAAAGCTCTTTAGTTAACTGTGTATGGAAATGAAAAAAATTAATAAATAACATTAGTATAACAGACCTCTAAACATTAATACATTGGCAAAATAAAATGGACTTAAGATGAAAATGAATCTTAAAGCTCTGCTATTCTCTGTAAGAATATTTACCTTCTGTTTTATTCTTTACAGGTGAGAAAGATTAAATACTGCTAATATAAATTTTTTTATATTAATGACACATTTTTAAAATAGTCCACGAAAATCTCATCTATGTGTTTGTTTTCTTAACACTGATATACAAATTGGGACTCTACATTCGGGAGAAAGCATCAAGTTATCTCCAGCACCCCCAGGTTAAGAATTTCAAAATCTTGAATAAGAAGGACTTTAAAATTCCTATCTTCCAATTCTTTATTAAAGGCAAGGGAAAACTGAGGAAAGCGTAAGAGACAAGTAAAATGTTATATAGAAAAACTTTTGCTAAAGCTCACTATGGTCACATTACTGAGGACAGGCTTCTGGTCCCTGTTCCTTGCTGCCCTTCCCTGGGGAATCCAGGCCCTGCAGAGGGCACTAGCTGCTTAATGCTTTAAGTCTGAGGTCTTCAAAGGAAAGGCCAGCCACATCTGATGGGGGCTGGGGGTGGGGGCAGGAGGTTTAGACCAGTTCAGGATCCAGCAAAAAGAAAAGACAAAACAACCAAGCTCCCCTTCTCAGGAGAGTCCATTCTACACTCCTCCGCGCAGTTGGGTAATTAATGTCATCAGGAGGCTAGGACACTTAAAATGGTCCAGAGTTCACCTGGAAACTGTGGAACATTCTGTCTCTTGCAGGAGACAAGGCATTCAACCTGATAACTAAGCTTGGGATCGGAACCAATCGAATGATCCCAGGGTACAATGCTTCTCTCCACTGAAGCCTTATGGCAGGGGAAAGGGACTCTGGACACAATGCACCTGCATGCCACCTCTTCAGTCACAGAGAGCATTCTTTCCTGTCCTTTAGACACTAGGGACTAATGATACTCAAGGTAGAGGAGCTCCGACTCTGGTATTTCCATATTAAGTCCTAAAATGCAGCCTGGGATACAGTGCTGCCTTAGAAAGGCACAAAACATTTGGCTTTTTTTTTTTTTCAGTGTGCTAAAAATTGTTTTGTTTTGAATAAAGGAAAAAGATATATAAGGTTAAAAATCCCAAGTCACCACAGCCAGAAAGCAGATGTAGGAGGTACCTCATAGCTGCCATGCCCCTACCACGTTTCAGCAGGAAGTCAGGCTTTTATTTCAAGGCCAAGACACTAGAACAGTGCTGAGCAGGGTAGGTCAGGAGGCATTTACTCTCATGGGCATTGCATTGTACACTCGCTCACCCAGACAGCAGGAGAAAGAGGCCATGGAAGACAACACGTGGTCTACAGACTCCCAAGTGGTTCTCTGCCTCTCCAGTTTTAAAGACAGCCATAAGCATGGCTACCCTCATCCACAACAAGGTCAGAGGTAGGTAGGAAGGAGGGAGCTGACGCCCAGGCACCCAGGACACCCCACTTCAGGGCTTAGCATGGAGGTGGCGCAAGGCCTGAGGAGTTGCACACAGCATGTATTGAGCAATACTCCTCTCTGGCCTCCCGTCTGATTTAGGGGTAGAAGGAGAATGTAGGAGAGGCAACGGCGCAGAGTGTGTGGGGGCGGAGGGGCTGACATTCCTTTTTGGGACTGAATCAGGCAATCAGGACTCTGCTGCTTTCTTCAGCTACCAAATCAGGAGATTTGAGGCTGGCTTTTGGGCTTTGCCCTGTACAAACAGAGAGTGGTCGGCTGCATTTTTCTGAAGCTCTGTACCCAGGAAGGGGTGGCAAAAGAGCCACCCAGCTTAGTCTCTCCGTCAATAGCCGGCCTTTCCACCTGTCTTCCCACCTGACTCACCATGGTCACTCGGAGCTTGCTCTCCCCATCCCTATTTTTCCATCTCTGACTCTTTACTACTTTCCAGAACCAAGAAACACTGGTATTTCCCAATGAAACCAACCCAGACTTTCTGTAACACAGTGAAGGCACATGGCACTGCTGTCCCTCTGCTGCTAAACTCAGGAGCCTAGACTACAACATCAAAGGTGAAGTCTGACGACCCACCCTTCCTCCCTTGATGGACATCTTTGGATTATTAGGTAACATCTGTGTGTATCAAATGACTCTCGTAGTTTAAAAAACTTTTAAGTAAGGCAGTATGAAATGCCTTACAATGTCTAAGATGAGATAAATATAAGATCAAAAAATTCAAGCAAGCAAAAGTACGGCTTTAAAAAAACAGAAAAGGAAAGCTTTTATACAGGGCTAAAAAGAAAGCAATTGCCAGAAGACACAGGTATACCGTCCAGCGAGCTCTCAGTAAAAACTCTATCCTAAGCTGGAGTCTGTATTTGATTTCTATCCTGGCAACTGCTCCAATATTATATATTCTTACTGGCTCTGGCAAAGTAGTTTCTGAGGTGCCTGGGAAGGCTTACCTGAGAACATTACTGCAGAGCAGCCCTCACACAGGAGGGAATGAGACAGTAAGGAGGAGAGTAGAGAAGACAGGCCACAAGTCCAGAGAATGAACATATTTTCAATCACTCAAACCTGAACAGAAGTCCATGGGTAGTGGCTACAGTGGAGCCTGTTATGAGATTCTGCTTTCTAAATAACATGGATTCAGAAGGCAAAAGACCTGAGGCTGAATGGAGGCTAAGGAAGGCCACCCAGAAACAGGCTAGCTCTGGAACAGGACAGGCTGGCCCACAAGAGGGAGGTAAGAAATCTTGGATGCCAAGACTGACAAAGGGAAGAAAAACAGGGAATAAAGACAATGACCAGAATTAAGTTAAACCTAAGAATTTCTATGATGTCCTGGACAAACTCCGGTGCCTTCCTTTCCACTAGCAAAAAGGCAGGAGTAGCAGCTTTACTCCCCAAGTAGAAGCCTTTTGAGGATGTCTGTGGAGTCTCTGCCCTCTTCTCTAGAAGCTCCCTAACTCCAGCTGAAGGAGTCTGCCACATCTCTGCTCTCCCTGGCAAGGCCAACTGCTCAGGGATAGATACTTGATCTATGTACTGGGCTGAATGTAGTTTTTCTTAAGAATATGAAGTCTAGGAAATTGGGAATTTGTTCACAGTGATCCCCAGAGTTGGAAGGTGGTGTGGATTTAAGGACTGGAGTGCCTATTTGGGGGCCACACATCCCATAAACAGACTGTGAAGTGGGAGGAAGAAACAGGTGCAAAGCTCTGCAGTTCAGCTCCACCAGAAAACCAACAGCACGTCCCACCCTGGGTCCTATGAAACACCCTGCATCCTTATAATGACTCCCTCCTTTCATACGCTTGAACATCTGTTTCTTGTTATCCAAAGGATCCCTAAGCAGAACAGTCAAAAATATAACCTCGACTACCTTCCACTATCCACCACCCTCTAGGCATTAAGCAGTTCTATATATTCCTAACAAAAGACCACTCATGGAGACTGAGTTCAAAGGAGTGACACTAATAGTTAAGCTAAGTTAGAGTACTTTAGATTGAACTTCTAAAGCTCTAAGGTCTGGGAGAATAATGTGTGAACACTAAGCTTCAGGGTCCCTAAACTCCTTGCTCTTGATGGGGAGGTAAAGGCTGACAATTAGAGGACTGATTAAGTTCAATCTGTATTAATGCCTGGCTCTTGGAAGACCAAACAACTGACTGAAGATCAGGACCCAAAGATAGGACCCACAGCTCCAGCCCTTCTAAAACACAGAGTTAGCTGCAAAGGTTGTTGAAAGACTGGAAAACCAATTCCAAATAGTACAGGACATGGTGACAGCCTGCAGAGGGGTGATACGAAAATCCTCCCAACAAAGGAGATTAGGGACACAGCAGCTCAGGAAAAAGTTCAAGGAAGGCACTAGATTGGAAAGGGGGATGTGGGTAGATGCTTTGTTTAAACATTTAATGCCTTACTGTGCAACTCTGAGCCAACTTACCCTTCAACTCACCAAACAGATTCCAATGAAATACATAAAAACAGTAGGTATCCATGAGACTTACATCAAGGAATCTCCCAGGCATTATCAAAGCTATAGGAGACAACAGGGGATAATGGAAGAATCTTGGCCTGCTATTAACCAGGATAGCTCTACAAGGAAAGGTCAGTCTACGTGAAAGAGCTGTGAATAAAAACTGCACAATCTTATTGGGAAGAGCTATTTTAAGGTCAAATGCAGGGGCTAAGAGATACCAAGTACAATCCCCTAAACATCAGTAAACTATCATGCAGTGGCAAGAGAAGGACACATACCTGACAGTTCTGGCACATGGTCATCACACATAAACATTTGCTGGATGAACAAATGAACTGTTACAGCCAGGTCAATAGTCAGAAAACTATTTTTCAATGAACAGTGGTCATTCCAAAGTCAGAAAGGCCAATGGCAAGAAGGGGGGCTTATAGTTTGAGAAGGTCTAATCTTCTGACTTTCATGATGTGAGGTAGGAGAATATTCTGCTTTATCACCATTGTTGAACACCTACAAAAAGAACTAGATCTTAAAGGGAATACACAGGTGGTCCCTAGTTTTTACAAGCAAGTTTTGTTATAAAAATTTGTAAGTTGACTGTTTGGACCATAAATACATTTTACTTTCCTATAGAGAAAACATATATCTTAAGAGTGATCAACAGTGACTCCCACCTCCCTTAACCAGAAAAAAAATCTTTTAAATCCACAAAATAGCTAAATAATACTAAGAGTACTATCCCACATCATGGGCCCCGGTAATGAGGGTTTGTGTAAGGAGAAAAAGGGGCCGGAAGAATGGCAGATTATGTAGCATGGGGCTGGGGGGAGACGAGCGAGTGGAAGAGAGTAGCTACCCACAGGCAGAGAGCACTGTTCACAAAAATATTACAGATACACGCTGAGATGAGAAGCTGCCTGGTCTATTACTTAACTAAAGGGAGGTATATTAAGAGCCCACAGGTAAGAACCCTCTATTTTAGTGGAAGGAACATGGGCAGCTGGAAAGGTCCAGTTGTGGTTGCTGCAGAGCAGCAACGCAGCAACAAGGCAGCTCGGAAAGCAACCCACGAAGACACAGGGAAAGCACGAAACTGGGCTGAATGCAACAGCCCAATGAATATGAGAAAAAGGAGAACAAAGGGAAGGGACAAGGGGATGGGCTTGCCAAAAATGGCAAAACCTGAAGTCTGTTCATCAATGGCAGTTTCAATTAAATTCAGAGCAGAGCCAAAGAATTTTAAATTGCCATACAAATGGGGGATGAAGAATGGGTTACTGGTGCCTTAGTCAACAGAAAATATAAATAATTAAGCTTTTGAGAATAACCTCAAAACAAAAGCCACATGAAAACCTTCCTTAGTCTTGCCTGGAAATCTCAGACACAGGGCCAGGTATGTTCTCAGAGCACCCAGTCAAAGGAAAAATCCTCATGAAATGATCCCAAACCTTGAATGCTGGCAGACAACTGTGACAAACTAACACCCAAGCCCATCCATGGGGCACATGTACAACACAGGGAGCTGCAGCCTCAGTTCCAGGCTGATTCAGAGCCACACAGGACTCAAAAAAGGAAAAGTCGAGACTGCCCTTAGCTTACGCAGTAGGGCCAATAATTTCCAGGGAAGATTTAGATGCACGGAAAAGGCAAAAGATACATAGCCAGTGCGTTGTCTTCTGAACAGATCTTTAGACTACGGGCAATATCTGCAGATAAAAAAGTTACAATATGGATAGGCCTGGAAACTGCTGCCATTTTTTCTAGTTCTTTGTCTAGGCCTTCAATATTTAAAATGCAAAACTGAACGTTACCTCAAATGAAACAGTATGTGTACTGGCGTTTAGAAGTTGCCGGGGGTCTACTGTTTGCTATTCACTGCCATTTTCCTCTGCCCACTCCACCCCAATTTGGGACCACCTCACCTAATGGTGGGCTATGCCGCTTTATGCCATGTAGAGAAGACACTGGGTAATTACAGCAAATCAACACAAGGTCCTGTACTGCCTACTCTGAGAACATAAATGGCTCTCAGGCCAGAGGATAAAATCAAAAGATCCAGAAGTAGCTGAATGCCAAGAGACGAGTTAGAACAAGTTTTAGTTCCAAAGATGATAAGACTGAAAAGAAAACTAATCCAAGGAGGGTCATTTCTGTCTAGATCTAAAGACAAAAGCAATGATTTAGATTTTCAGGAAGACAGATTTATTAAAGAGCAGGCTTGCTTCTGACGTGGAGAAAGGTTACATGCTGCTTAAGGAAGTCAGCAAAACACTCTGGACAGTATACTAACTGAACTCCAGGGATCATTTACCAGCAATATAAAGGAACTGACTAATGGTTCTCCAAACTGGACCCTTAATCTTCTTTATGAACTTGCAATTACACAAACTGCCAGCATATATTGTCTTTGACTGCAGTAATTTATTCACCGAATGATGTCTAATACTGTGAAGAACACAGTAATTACAGAGAGTAGTTAGGACCTCAGGTGAAGAGGAAAAGGGAAGGAAAGGAGGAAAGAGACGTTACATTCCCAAAGCCACAGGCACAAGAAAAAACCACATCATCAGGAGGCAGCAAGGCAGGGAAGTTGCTATCAGCAAGAGGATAATACCACGGGTATTATCCCCACTCCTTAAAGGGAAAAGGAAAACCATTGCTGAAAATCTAACTAGTATTCCTCATGTTCAAATGAAGACACCCATGCTGAAATTAGTTCACTGGGAAGAAAAAACTGAACGGATAAATCCTTACTCTCTATTTTGTGCATTTAAATAGCATGTGAACGAAGCTTTCTAAAAGCTTTCTGGTATTCTGGCCAGAAAGTCATCCTGGAAATACATGTTTTTCCCTTCTTCATTAAGTAAAAAGACTCATGACCTACATCAGAACATATACCTGGCACCAAGGCAACTGACTCCCACAGACTCTTTTCTGGGGAGGGCATGGAATGTATTTGAAGGCCTCTATCTCAAATCAGTCATGATGTAATTAGGATAATCAAAACATCTTAATCAATTCAATGTTCCTATAGAAACAGTGTTTTGGAGTGACCAGTGTTAGCTGCTAGTATCAAACATGACTATAATAGTGTAGCTACAGTACTTTTCCTCCCACCTATCTACCAAACAAACCAATACCATCACACACAATAAAGAACATCCCATAAGCTGCTTGGCCTCAGTAAGGCTGGTCATAGCAAGCCCACTGCCAATGACAGAACACCAACAAGGATGAGGAAGGAGCTGATGGGGAAAGGACAGAGAGAGGGTGTTCTAAAAATGTAAGACTTTAGCTATGCACATGATAATATAAGCCAAAGGGGAGTGTTGAAGCTGTAATACACACTAGGCTTGGGTTTAATACCACAGTAGATGGAAGTCTTTAAAAGATTCCTTCCTAAACCTTTTGTGATAATTCCTTGCCTGGAATTAACACACACAGCAGGTTAATCTTATAATCACGAGGACACACACAACCACAGGCAGACAGACACACACACGGCCACATCCTTAACCTAGGAAGTCTTAAGTCCTCAATTAGGATTTCCAGCACAATACTTATTCTACGGCTTTCTGGACTGTTCCCCAGGTAGGTTACCATGTAATAAAATCCACACGCTCTCTATGTGGGAACTGAAGGACACCCTCAAATGCACTCTCAAGATCCATAAAATAATAAAACATACTAGCTGCTCCATTTGCACTTCACTGCTTTGAAATCTTGGAACCACTGAAGTGATATCCCACAGAGAGGGTAAGACTTCACTGTGAAGTCTCCAAAGGAACTCCTGCCCTTCTAGGTGCTACTTGAGTAATAACTCCCAACTCACTGGTCCTCTAAACCTGCAGCAAGGAGGTGGTGTGCTAGGTAGCTACATGGGCAGGAGAAGAAATGGAAACAAACTCCCGGAGGATGTTTTTGGCCATCTCGATGTTGTTCTGGGCAATGACCAAAGCTTTCTGGATGTCCTGGTAGGAGTATCCCTGACTCAGGAGGTTCTCGATCTCACTGGAGAGCTGAGGTGAGGCGGTGGCAGCAGAGGAGGCAGCACTGCTACCTTGCTGACAGTTGACAGCTTTCCGTTCAGAGTTGATTCTCCGAGGGAATGGTTTAGGAGGCCTCTCGGGAACTTGGGAACCTTCGGTGACATCTAGAAGAAACAGTAAAGAAAATATTTGCAAATCTGGGGAAATCCTCATTTAACGACAGCAATAGTAAAAAATGTGCTAATATCAAGATAATATTGACTTCCTGTAAATTGGTTACATGTGCTCTTCAGTCACAAGACTGGGTTTTATAGGTTCAAGGGTTTTAAGGTATAGCCTCCTCCTTATCACAATAAAAACAACCTTCTACATATACCATCCACCTGTTCTATGAACAACAACCACCGCAATCATAACATCTGCATTATGTTTATACTAAGCAACATGTTTGTACACATGTAATTGTCTGTTTTAATTCTGAGGGGACCAGAGAAGATACTAAACTTATCCTTCTACAAATAACGAAAAAGAGGGAAATAAGTTGCAATAAAGAAGCATTAGCCAAGGCTGAGTGGGGATCACTGTTCGTCTGGGCAAGTGAAGGCTGTATATCTTTTTCACCAGCTGTCTGTCCTGAAGACTGTGACAGCAACTCTGGCTGCTGCCCTACCAGGCAGCCACAGGTGCAAGAAGGGCAGCATCCAATAGTTAAGGCCCAACATGAGCTGGCTCTAGGCCCATTCTGTGTGTGTTGCAGAGCCAGCATGCCTCCTTTCCAATGGAACAGAGCACAGCAAAAAGGAATGTGTGATGAGCCAAGTGTGGTGGCAGGCACCTGTAATCCCAGGCTAAGGCAGGAGAACAGCTTGAACCTGGGAGGTGGAGGTTGCAGCGAGCTGAGATCATGCCACTGCACTGCAGTCTGGGCAAGAGTGAAATGCCATCTCAAGAAAAAAAAAAAAAAAAAAAAAAAAAAAAAAAAGCATTGTGTGATCTGAACCATCAAGCCTGATTACCAGCGTCATAAGGCATACTCAGAAAAACTAAATCCTACCTACCCCTAACATAAGAAGAACCACAGTTGGCGATGAAAAAAAGAATTTGTAGGAAAGGCGATGAAAAAAAAAAAAAAGAGCCACAGTTTAAGGAACAACCTCTTTTCTAAGTCTGCAAAATCCTAAAAGAGTCTGACTACAGGCCGGGTGCGGTGGCTCACGCCTGTAATCCCAACACTTTGGGAGGCCGAGGCGGGTGGATCATGAGGTCAAGAGATCGAGACCATCCTGGTCAACATGGTGAAACCCCGTCTCTACTAAAAATACAAAAAAATTAGCTGGGCATGGTGGCACATGCTTGTAATCCCAGCTACTCAGGAGGCTGAGGCAGGAGAATTGCCTGAACCCAGGAGGCGGAGGTTGCGGTGAGCCGAGATCGCGCCATTGCACTCCAGCATGTGTAACAAGAGCGAAACTCCGTCTCAAAAAAAAAAAAAAAAGAGTCTGACTACAGTCTAACTTCCTAACTTGGGACTTCCCTCCCATTCAGACGTAATGTTTCACCTACTACTTCCACATACTGACTTCCTGTCACGAGAGAAGGTCATCTCCCTTTCAATATAAACATCCAGGCCATGCTGCCATTCAGGACAAACCCAACATAGGGTGGAGACTCACTTGTTGTGAGATCACCATCCAGAGACAACCAGCCAAAGGAGGAGCTGGCATTAGAGATATCTGAGAGAGTCCGGCGGGCCAGCACCACCGGCACAGGTGGCTTTGGGACATCATACCCATCATCCTCATTTTCTGATTCCTCAGGACCAGTGTTGGCATGCGCTGCAGCCAAATTCCCTTCACCTGGAGAAAAGTTTGTGATGTTATCTTCTTCTCACACACTTCATCTTCTAATACATTTCAATATAGGGACATCCACTCATTTTTGCATATATGCAATCATTTATCTCGTTCAACAGTTACCGATTGTCTACTATGGGCCAAACACCGTGTAAACAGAGATAAAAATAGAAAATAAAATCTATACCAATACTGCAGTTTTCTTTTTTGAATATGCCAAAGGTTACTCTTGACAAGGTTAATAGCCACTGATGCCAATGACTTGAATGTCATCTCAGAGCATTCAATAAACATTTCTATCCACATTCCACCTTGGAAGATCAGCAAAGGGTCCTATGAGAGCAGGCTTCTTGAACTTTCTCCCCCCCGTCCCCACCCATGATCAGTTGACAACTTCTTGAACTTTCAATCTGGTAGGCTAGTTAACATGGGAACTGAGCATTCACCACCCCCACATAAAAGAATTTCATCAATGCAATGAGAATAAAAAGAAGCATACAGGTACAGAGTATATAACATAAATGTCTCTGGGCCCTGGAAGGACCAAAAAAAAAAAAGCACAAAAAGAACCAGCAGTGTGAATAGGAGATAAAAGAGTGGGGGTACTTTACTGCCCATGGATCAAAGATATTTTGCCAAAGATCACTGAAAAGAATTTTCAGCTTTGGCTGGGCACGGTGGCTCACGCACGTAATCCCAAGACTTTGGGAGGCCAAGGTGGGTGGATCACCTGAGGTCAGGAGTTTGAGACCTGCCTGGCCAACACAGTGAAACCCCATCTCTACTAAAAATACAAAAATTAGCCAGGTGTGGTCAAGCATGCCTGTAGTCCCAGCTACAGAATAATTTTCAGCTTAGATCAAGCTATCTCAATTGCCAAATATTACAGGTTCATTCCTATGGCACATCAATGATTTTTAAAGTAGCAGAATAGCTACTTACCAAAGGTGCTGCTCTCGGTGACAGATGGCGCCTGAGACTGAATATTATACATTGCTTCATATGTACAGCTATCAATCTGCTGGTCGCAATCACATGCTCTGAACCAGAAGGAAAGTGCAATAATGATCTTTGGAAACAGAACTGTTATCTGTAAACTTATGAAGACTCATCTTCTCCTTTTGCCAGTATCACTAATAAATGTTGGTAAGGTTGACTCTTGGGGCAAGTGATAGATGTGTGTGTTATTAAGGTTATCATGTTGCTGAGAAAACTAGGTGCAATTACCTACAGCTACAAAAGGCTTAAACCATTAAGGACTAGATTTATCTTTCTGCTTTAATCCAGGTGGATAACACTATGTGCAGGAGCAAGCCAGGCAGGTGAAGGGTGTCAATTACCCACATAAAGGTATATGGCCCAAAATAGGGTTGTTGTGAACCTACCGTGAACTCTGGGATGTATCCAAAGGCCGCAGAGGCCTGGAAGAGGGAGTCATGTACTCTGTGTCCTCTTCATCCTCACACTGTTCCCCAGGTGGCAGTTTTGGCACAGGAAGAGGTCTGGAAGATGAAGAACAAAAAATAGAAAAAGAAGTAACAAGCTGGTAAACTTCGAAGTATAAAATAAGTGGCTTAAAAACAGACACAACTCAAACTGGAGAGAGCAAAATACATGCCACCTAGGGAACTATTATTTCTACTGACCAAAACAGGTAATTAGCAAAAGCACACTAACTAAAAATGTCACTTTCAACTGACCAAAGGTGCAACTTTTATGCTTCAGAGGTGATATACTGAACTAATCACCTGATACTGGTTAGTTCTAATCCCCACAGAAGTTTCATTACAGAGTCCCAGGCCTACAGTGAGAGAAACAGAAATAATTTTTCTGACAATATGTTAGAATTGTATACTAAATTCCCATTCTAAACTCTACCTATGGTTTCAAGGACTACACAGCTTGCCAAAAGCTTCCTCAAACTCCTTGTTTGTGTGTGTGTATGTGTGTGTGTGTAAACTTCCCAGGAACTTTGCTTACAAAAACTCCTTGTTTTATACAAGAAAAATTTAAAATAGAGTTAAAGTGACCTGGCAATTAGCATAAATTCTGAGGCGAGAACTCAGATCTACTGACTCCCACATCAAGGATCCTGCTGTTATACCCACATGTAACTTTCACCCAGTAACTTTGGAAACAAGACTTCCACCACCCCATGAAATAAAACCAAAAAACCCCCCAACAAAAACAAATATACCCCACCAAATTACAGAGGGGGAAAAAAAAGACACATGAAAACCTGCTTCTCGGAGCGTGAATTTGTGTTTCTCCTCCTTTCCTCTTTATATTATTTTTGCATATCCTAAAAATACTACAAGGAGCACCTCTTGCATGTATTTGTCTGCTTCATGTTTAGATTTTCCTAATTATAAAAGCAACACGTTTATAATACACCTGTAAGTGCTATAGAAACTTAACACATATCATAAAAGTCCCCTTTAATCTTATATGAGTTTTTTTTTTGTTTTTTTTTTTTTTTTTGAGACGGAGTCTCTCTGTGTTGCCAGGGTGGAGTGCAGTGGCATGTCTCACTGCAACCTCTGCCTCCTGGGTTCAAGGGATTCTCCTGTCTCAGCCTCCTGAATAGCTAAGACTACAGGCGCGCACCACCACGTGAAAGTAATTTTTCTATTTATAGTAGAGACATGGCTTCACCGTGTTGGCCAGGATGGTCTTATCACCTGATCTCGTGATCTGCCCGCCTCGGCCTCCCAAAGTGCTGGGATTAAGGCATGAGCCACCACCCAGCCTTCATTTGAGTTTTTTTTCTTATGTATACCTATTACTTTTATTAGGTTGATGCAAAAGTAATTGCGTTTTTTGCTGTTAATGGCAAAAATCACAATTGTTTTGGCACCAACCTAAATATGAAAAAATTAGCCTTTAAAACTCAGCAAATATCCACTCAAGATTTGTGCAACACATGCTGAAGTTCTGAGGCAGAAGTGTATTGGTATCTACAATTTACTTTAAAAACATCAAAAGAAGCCGGGCGCGGTGGCTCAAGCCTGTAATCCCAGCACTTTGGGAGGCCGAGGCGGGTGGATCACGAGGTCAAGAGATCGAATCCATCCTGGTCAACATGGTGAAACCCCGTCTCTACTAAAAATACAAAAAATTAGCTGGGCATGGTGGCGTGTGCCTGTAATCCCAGCTAGTCAGGAGGCTGAGACAGGAGAATTGCCTGAACCCAGGAGGCAGAGGTTGCAGTGAGCCGAGATCGCACCATTGCACTCCAGCCTGGGTAACAAGAGTGCAAAACTCCGTCTCAAAAAAAAAAAAAAAAAAAAAACATCAAAAGACAGATTATAGTGTGATAAAACAAGTATAATAAAATGCTAAAAGTAGAATCCAGGTGATCAGTTTATGGGTGTTCACTGTACAATTCTTTCACCTTTACTATCTTGGTAATTTTTCACAATCAAATGAGGTGGCGGGAGGACAATTTACATTAAAAAAGAAATACCTAGGCTGGGTGCATGGCTCATGCCTATAATCCTAGCACTTTGGGAGGCCAAGGCAGGCAGGTCACCTGAGGTCGGGAGTTTGACATCAGCCTGGCCAACATGGAGAAACGCAGTCTCTACTAAACATACAAAATTAGCTGGGTGTGGTGGCACATGCCTGTAATTCTAGCTACTTGGGAGGCTGAGGCAAGAGAATTGCTTGAACCTGGGAGGTGGAGGTTGTGGGGAGCTGAGATCCCACCATTGCACTCCAGCTTGGGCAACAAGAGCAAAATTCTCTCTCAAAAAAAAAAAAACAACACCTAGATTTTTCGCTAGACCACAGTGGCATGATGACAGCTCACTGTGGCCTTAACCTCCCAGGCTCAAGTGATCCTCCCACCTCAGCCTCCTCAGTAGGTGGGACTACAGGCATGTGCCATGATACCAGAATAATTTTTAAAAACAATTTTTTTTTTTTTTTTTTTTCCGAGACGGAGTTTCACTCTTGTTACCCAGGCTGGAGTGCAATGGCACGATCTCGGCTCACCGCAACCTCCGCCTCCTGGGTTCAGGCAATTCTCCTGCCTCAGCCTCCTCAGTTGCTGGGATTACAGGCACGCGCCACCATGCCCAGCTAATGCTTTGTATTTTTAGTAGAGACGGGGTTTCACCATGTTGACCAGGATGGTCTTGATCTCTTGACCTCGTGATCCACCCGCCTCGGCCTCCCAAAGTGCTGGGATTACAGGCTTGAGCCACCGCGCCCGGCTGAAAAACAATTTTTTTAAATAGAGATGCAGTTTTGCTACGTTGCCCAGGTTGGTCTTAAACTCCTGGGCTCAAGTGATCCTCCTGCCCTGGCCTCCCAAAATGTTGGGATTACAGGCCTGAACCACCCCACTCAGCCCTAGTTTGTTCTAAATGTGGTATTTGGCCATATTGTGTCAGTGAAGGTGTAGGGAAATGAATGGGAACTTTGTCACACAGCTGTAGAAATAAGGAATTAACACATTTCTGTTGTGTAATTCGACAAAAGTATTTATCAAACATGCATACTCTTGGTCTCAAAAATTCCATTTCTAATAATTTTCCCTAAGGAAACCATCAAGAACATTCATGTAGCATTATTTATAATGCTACAAAGTAAAGTAGTGTCATCACAACTCACTGCAGCCTCAACATCCTGGGCTCCAGCAATCCTCTCACCTTAGCCTCCCAAGTAGCTGGGACTGCAGGCATGTGCCATCACATGCCCGGCTGATTTTTTACTTTTTGTAGAGATGGGAGTCTTACTATGTTGCCCAGACTGGTCTCAAACTTCTGGGCTCAAGCGATCCTCCTGCCTTGGCCTCCCAAAGTGCTTCCATTACAGGCATGAGCCACCACTCACAGCCAAGAAACATTACCTTTAAAGGAGTAACATTAAGGCTGAGAGCTAATTTCTAAACAGAAACAATGGACGCTAAAAGAGAGTGGAATGATATTTTTTAAACTGCTGAAAGAAAACAACTTCAGTTCAGATGCCATATTTGGCTAGGCACAGTGGCTCACCCTTGTAAATCCCAGCACTTTGGGAGGCTGAGGCAGGCAGATCACTTGAGGTCAGGAGTTCAAGACCAGCCTGGCCAACTTGGTGAAACCCCGTCTCTACTAAAAAATAAAAAAATAAAAAAAAAAAAAAAATTAGCTGGGCATGGTGGCATAAGCCTGTAAACCCAGATACTTCGGAGGCTGAGGCAGGAGACTTGCTTGAACCTGGGAGGCATAGGTTGCAGTGACCCGAGATCATGCCACTGTACTCCAGCCTAGGATACAGAGCAAGACTCCATCTCAAAAACAAAACAGATGCTGTACTCAGTGAAAGTATCTTTTTAAAAAATTAGAAGTGGGCTAGGCACGGTGGCTTAAGCCTACAGTCCCTGCACTTTGGGAGGCCAAGGTGGGCAAATCACTTGAGCCCACAAGTTCGAGACCAGTCTGGGCAACATGGCAAAACCCATCTCTACAAAAATGCAAAAATTAGCTGACCATGGTACCATGTATCTGTGGTCCCAACTACTTGGGAGGCTAAGGCAGGAGGATCACTTGAGCCTGAGAGATTTAGGCTGCAGTGAGCTGAGACTGTACCACTGTACTCCAGCCTAGGCAAAAAACAGAGCCACTGATTTAAAATACACTCTAGGCTCGGTGTGATGGCTCATATCTGTATTTCCCAGCAACTCAGGAAGCTGAGGAGGCTCTCTTGACACCGGGGTTCAAGACCAGCCTGGGCAACATAGCTAGACCTTGTCTCTACTAAAAATAAAAAATTAAAAACTTAGCCAGGCATGGTGGCAAATGCCTGGAGAGTCTCAGTTACTCAGGAGACTGAGGTGGGAGGATTTCTTGAGCCCAGTACGTTGAGGCTGTAGCAAGCTATGATTGTGTCTTTGCACTGCAACCTGGGCAACAGATCAAGACCCTATCTCTAAATAAATGAATGAAACTTTTTTTTTTTTGAGACAGAGTTTCGCTCCTGTTGCTCAGGCTGGAGTGCAATGGCGCGATCGCGATCTCTGTTCACCACAACCTCCACCCCGCAGGTTCAAGTGATTCTCTTGCCTCAGCCTCCTGAGTGGTGGGGATTACAGGCATGCAGCACCACACCCGGCTAATTTTGTATTTTTAGTAGAGACGGGGTTTCTCCATGTTGGTCAGGCTAGTCTTGAACTCCTGACCTCTGGTGATCAGACCACTTAGGCCTCCCAAAGTGCTGGGATTACAGGCATGAGCCACCACGCCCGGCCAATAAATGAAACTTTTTTTTTTTTTTTTTTTTTGAGACAGAGTCTCACTCTGACACCAGGCGACAAGCTGGAGTGCAGTGGCACAATCTCGGCTCACCGCAACCTCTGCCTCCCGGGTTCAAGCAATTCTCCTACCTCAGCCTCCCGAGTAGCTGGGACTACAGGCGCGCACCACCACGCCCAGCTAATTTTTGTATTTTTAGTAGAGACGGCATTTCACCATGTTGGCCAGGATGGTCTCGATCTCTTGACCTTGTGATCCACCCGCCTTGGCCTCCCAAAGTGCTGGGATTACAGGCTTGAGCCACCATGCCCGGCCTAAATGAAACTCTTAACAAGTCAAGAGTGCATGATGGAATCTCTCGGTAACTATTAAAGAATAGAAGTAGTTGTGCTCACTTCAGCAGGACAAACACTAAAACTGGAAGGATACAGAGATGATTAGCATGGCCTCTGCACAAGGATGACACACGAATTTATGAAGCGTTCCCGCCTCCACCTCCCGAAGTGCTGGGATAACAGGCATGAGCCACCATGCCTGGCCAAAACTTCTAAATTTCTATGTACCCTAATTACATAGGCTAAATATACCAGTAACACAAATACGCATAACTAAAAGGAAAAGAAAAAAACCACAGTCATAGGTGGAGAATTTAAAATACTTTTCTCAGTTATCAGATAGCAGATTTTTAAAAAGATTTTAGGGAGATACAAGATTTAACACACTTAACAAACTTGACCTCATTAACTTATATAGAATGCTTCAACCCAACACTGCAAAATACACTTTCTTAGGAACTGAGGGTGGTACAAATTACCACAATTTACCATAAACTAGTTGACAATATGGTTTCTGACCACACCTGAATGAAGCCGGCAGTAGCAGAAGGATAACTAGAAAATTTTCAAATGTATGAAAATCAGGCAACATATAAATAACTCATGAATTAAAGAAGGAATTAGAAATAGAAAAAGTATGTTTTGAACTTAATGACAATGAAAATACGACATATCAAACTGTGTAGAATACAGCAAAACATCTGTTTGTGTACTCCCTAAAATCATCTGTTGAAGCCCTTACTCTCAATGTACGCATAGATTTTTATCAATAAACACAGTCTTCTGTATCCTTGGGTTCTGTAATTGCAACCAAGTTTGGCTCAAAAACACAGTAGTCATTAGAACCCACATATAGGGAGGGTCAGCTTTTCATATATGTGGTTCCACAGGGCCAACTGTGGGACCTGACCGCATTCTGGTATACACTGGGGTCTTAGAACTAATACCCTGCATGCATATATACTGAGGGGTGGCTGTATTTGAAGATGGGGCCTCTAAGGATGTAATTAAGGTTGGATGAAGTCATAAGGATAGGACCACATCCAGTAGGATTGGTGTCCCTATAGGAAGAGACCCCAGAGAGCTTGTGCGCGTGTGCACGCACTCTCTCTCTCTCACTCTCTCTCTCTCTGTCTCTCTTTCTCTCTCTGCGCAAACACTGAGGATGGCCATGTAAGGACATAGTGAGATGCAGAAAGAGAGCCCTCACCGGAAAGCCACCAAGCAGGCACCCTGATCTCAGACTTCCAGACTCCAGAACTGAGGGAAAATAAATTTCCACTATTTAAACCACCCAATATGTGGTATTTTGTCATGGCAGCCTGAGCAGACCAACACAGCATCCATTTCATGAAGCTAGAAAAACTGCAAATTAAACCTAAAGAAAGAAGAATAAAGAGCAGAGAGCAATGAAACAGAAAGCAGATATCCAAAATTACTTCCTTGAAAATAACAACGTCGACAGGCCCTAGCAACACAGATCTAGGTACATGTATGCAGAAAAAGGAAAAGAAGGAAATACTCTAAAACATAAAATATAATCATTTCTACATGGTGCAAACAGATTAATTTTCATTTTCTTTTTTACATTTCTCTTGGTTTTCAAATTTTCTGCAAATAAGTTGTTATAAGTACCAACTCCACTATATGAAATATAGCTTTAGCAGACTTACCTGGCAGCCAGAGAATAAATGGCATTGGCAGATGAGGAAGGTTTGATTTTGGGGTGGTCACACTCTGGACCTACTAATGGGCTGCTATTCATACTCTGGAAAGTAAAGAAAAGTGTTGAAAAAGAACTTCCTTACCACAGCTGAGCACCTCCTCTTATTGAACCTTTTCAAAATAACAATAACAGATACAGACTTAACTCTCAATGCCATGCCTGGGGTTATCCCATCTGACAAACGCTTAGAGGCTTAGCGGCTTTAGGGCTCTGAAGAACCTTCAAATGTAAGGGTTAGGGAGATGGAGATCTAGAAAGAGTCAGGGAAATGAGCTTTTTGGTTTAATTCTAAAAAGATTTGAGTAAATTGGCTATCTACACAAATATCATTAGTATCTTAAATAATCTATATCCAAACTCGAAATGGTCATTCTATACTGACGCTGCCAGAAAGTCAAACCTAATCCACACTCACTAATTAGATTGTCCACCACATAGATGCCACTTGATTGTTATCCTTTCCCTGCAATCAGTGAATATGCCATTCACTTAGTGCCACATTTCTCAGCTTCACTCTTCCCATTCCACCTCCTTAGATTTCTACCTACTTGCGATGCTTCCATCAGCTGCTCATTTGAAATTCAACAGTCAGCCAGGTAAAAGCTTTGTTTTTATGCACATTCAGTGCATGTATGTGGTACCTCTTATCTTTTTTTCTGCCCACTAACTGCTCCTCAAGCCTTAACGGAGTCTTTATTTCATGCTCTCCAGGCTTCCACCTAATCTGGCTGCTCACTTTGCTCATAAACAATGATTCTCTCTCTTGCTCATTGAGCCCTCGCTACATTAAACCCCTTTATTATTCTTCAAACAGTCTCTCCCAGACTCATTTGCTTTTTCCTTCATCCTGGAATAATCTCCCCTGGTATCAGTACGGCGCATCCTCCCTCCTGCTACAGGTTTCTGCTCAGAATTGTACTCCGTAACTTCAGGAACCTCCCACTCCTGTGCCAGCTTTCTCTATACGCTTCTTTGGGCTACTTTTCTCCACAGCACTTGTGACTGTGAATATACTGTTATTCAATTAACACATTTATATTCCATCTTCCTCCCACTAGAATATAAACTTTGTGAGGGCAAGACTTTTTGTTGAGTGCATAAATGAATAAAACATCAAATATTCCTCTCCCACCTCCCAGTTCTGGACCCCTTATTGCATATTCAGACAACGAACAGTAACTTATCTCCTTCAAATGTTCTTCATTTCCTACCATACAAATGAAAATTCTTTTGGGAGAGGGTTTTCAAGTCTCTCTAATCTAGTGTGAGTTCCTTTCCAGCTCTTTCTCCTACTGACAAAATTTCTGCTCTACTCAAAATAACCTAATCACCATTCCACAATACACCTTAAGCATTTCTGTCATTGTGGCTGTTAATAATCTGAAAACCATATCCACTTTCCAAAGAAATATTTCTACTCAGATGCCACTCTTTCTATAAAGCCCTCATGATTGCCCTATCTGGGAATATCCTCTTATTTCTCTGAAACTTAAGTATTTCCTAGTTACATTACGAATGACATTTATAAAACGACATTTACTGCAATATTTACAAACTGCCTCATCTAGTCTATGAACATACACACTTCTTTTTTTTTTTTTGTGGAGACAGAGTTTCACTCTTGCTGCCCAGGCAGGAGTGCAGTGGGACAATCTTGGCTCACTGCAACCTCTGCCTCCCAGTACCAAGCAATTCTCCTGCCTCAGCCTCCTGAGTAGATGGAATTACAGACGCTCACCACCAGGCCCAGCTAATTTTTTGTAATTTTTGTAGAGACGAGGTTTCATCATGTTAGCCAGGCTAGTCTCGAACTCCTGACCTCAGGTGATCTACCCATCTTGGCCTCCCAAAGTGCTGTGATCATAGGCATGAGTCACCACGCCTAGCCACTCTTCTTGAGGGTAGGAATTATGTTACAGTATCTCTGAATTCCATATAAAACCTATCACAAAATTTCAACCCATAATCATCTATCCACACATATTTTTCTTCTTGTTTTTCAAGACAGGGTCTCACTCTATTGTCTAGGCTGGAGTGCAGTGGTGCAATCATGGCTCACTGAAAGCTTGGCCTCCTAGGCTCAAGCAATACTCCCACCTCAGCCTCCTGAGTAACTAGAATTACAGGCATGTGATACCACACCCAGCTAACTTTCGTATTTTTTATAGAGACGGAGTTTCACCATGTTGCCCAGGCTGGTCTCGAACTGCTGGGATCAACTGATCTGCCCACCTGGTCTCGAACTCCTGGATCAAGCGATCCACCCACCTCAGACTCCCAAAGTGCTGGGATTACAGACATGAGCCACTGTGCCTGGCCCAGACATATTTCTTAACAGACTAGATAGTTTCGAAATTAAGACTCACCATGGAGGTATCCAGACTGAATGTGCTTCCGAGCCTAGGCACATCTGGTCTGGGCTCCATTTGTGAAGGCAATGAAAATGGAAGTGAGTGCCGGTTGGTTAATTCTCTTCCTGTCCAGGGATCACTGGAACTTGGGGCAGATACGGGTACTTTGGGGATTGGCCGGGGCAGCCATGAGTCTCCAAGGCGGCTAGAGGGGACAGGGGGCAGTTTGTCTCTGGATGGACAATCGCCTGGTGTACAAGGCAGGGGGCGTCTCTGAGGCCGGGATTCTGCTCCAACAGAATATGGCCGGTCTGGAGGCGGTGGTGGTGGAAGATCTCGAAGTGTGGGAGGTACTGGCAATGGTTTGTCTTTATGAAGGGAGCCAGAAGCAGCCTGTGGAAGCACGATGAAAGCAAATCAATCAAAACCCACTAGTACACAGCAAAGAATCTGAAAACTGCAGTAATGGAAAATGCTTTACCTTAGAAGCAGTTCCAAGAGCAGAAGCACTTGAGGGAACACATACACGCTGTGGCAGAAGGTCAAGTCGTGGTGGCACCGGAGGAAGGGAAGCTTGTGGGGCCATGGAGAATGGAGAAGGAGGCCGTTCCACCTAGGGTACATTAAAAATTTAACAGGTTACTCTCATTTGGGGAAATGGCATCTTTCAACTCTCCTAAAGCTGTAGATGGCAAATACCATGGGAACATTTACAACTACAAATGGACCAGACTTAGGTTTGAGGTTGAACACACCCTCTTAAAAAAACTTCCAGAGATTCTAGCACTTCCTGAATTATTTTTGTGTCACCATAAGAGGGCACTCTCAATCACAGAAATACCATACCCATGGCAAGCTACAGGTAATCTATCTAGAAACGACAGGGCTACAAAAAGTTTCCTAGCTTACAATTTTAAAAATTACTACAGTTTTCTACCCCCTCACCTTTGGAGAAAGAAAAAAATCTTTTCAACATTAAAAATAGGAATCCATATAAAACCATGGGGACAGGCCAGGCATGGTGGCTCACGCCTGTAATACTAACATTTTGGGAGGCAGGAGTTTGAGACCATAAGTATGGGCATAGTCAGACCCCATCTCTACAAAAAAATTAAATTAAATTAAAAATTAGCTGGGCTGTGGTGGCACACAGTTATTCGGGAAGCAAAAGTAGGAGGATTGCTTGAACCCAGGAGTTTGAGACTGCAGTGAACAATAATTATGCCACTGTACTCCAGCCTGGGCAAGGAGCAAGAGCCTGTCTCTAAAAAAAGAAAAAAAAAAGTAGGGGGGCAGATATTAACCTCTCAACAAACTACCTGGGAAAACAGTGTTTGAGGGGCATAATAAAGAGATCAATGATGGTAAAGACAAGAAAGAAGATGAGAGTAGGTACAGCGGCTCACACCTACAATCCTAGCATTTTGGGAGGCAAGCAAGAGGATTGCTTGAGGCCAGGAGTTCAAGACCAGCCTGGTCAACATAGTGAGATCCCTCTAAAAAAATGTTTTTTAATTAAATTTTTTTACAGATGAAATTTATAAAAGAAAAATGATCAAGTATATCACTAAAAAGCATCTTGAGTCCTTCCAAAGAAATAAATTATTTGAATTCAAGAATTAAAAGGAATTAATATTTTCTTTCAATTTGAGTTCCAAAAAAATGAAGTACCAAATTAGAGGAAAGAACACATATGTAACCTTTCCATTTCCCTGCCTATAGCAGGGTTAGGATAGCTGATAAGCTTGTCAAAGTAAGCTGTCAAGAGATATACAGTAATTCATTAAAAAAAAAAAAAAAAAAGAAATGCTACTCTGCATTTTAATTCCCCAATAGGAAAGCAACACTGATGAAATAAAGGCAAATATATAAAATACATATTATAAGCATTTGTACAAGATGACAGAGAAACACCCATTCCCATACTTAGTCCTGTTACTAGTGCTGGGTGGTGGATGAGAGAAAAGAAAGCTCTCATCTTTAGCTATTACTTTATCCACAATGTTTAAGAGAATGGGCTCCCAATTAGCTGACAATGTAGCATGAGCTGCTCAACAGCTCAATGGCAAAAGTCAAAATTACTAGTCAAGCCTACTCTCACTTCATTGTAATTATTTAGTCAGTAGCCATATCCTGCTGATTTTTCCTTAAAAGATTCTCATATCTGTATATTTCATTTCATTCTACTTACCAACCAACCCCAGACCTTATTTATTGATGGAAGTCAGGGTCTTGCTCTGTAGCCCAGGCTGGACTGCAGTGGCACAAACATGGTGCACTGCAGCCTTGACCTCCTGAGCTCAAGCCATCCTCCTGCCTCAGCCTCCCAACTAACTGGGACAAGGTGTATGCCATCACGAATGGCCTTTTTTTTTTGGCGGTGGCAGGCAGGGGTAGACAGGGTCATGTCATGTTGCCCAGGCTGTTCTCAAACCTCTGGGCTGAAAGGATCTTCCTTGTCTTGCCTCACAAAGTGTTGGGATTACAGGGGTGAGCCATTGCACCTGGCAGTGGTTTATAAAACCTAGTGGACTTCCCAACCTGTAGTTTATCTCACCACATCCTTCTGCTTACCACTATCAGCTTAGCCATTCTTAAACACTCACCAACTCAAAAACCACCAGTAATTCCCAATTTGCCCTGTTACAAAATCTCACCCTCCTGCCTGGCTTTCACAGGTCTCTGGTCTCTGAAACCAACAGTATTTCCCACAACTCCCTAACAAGCATCAATGCTGCTCTATTCAGGCTCATCTCCTCAGTGTTTCTTGCACATGCTATGATTATTTCGACTTCCGTATCATTCTTCAAGCCGTTTCCCCATTCTGGAAAGCCCTCTCTGCCCACCATCTATCTTTCTCTCATTCCTTAAGCACAGAGGGTTGAACTAGTATTTTTTCAATTCATGTCTCAACATCATAACTGATCCTCACAATATTATTCTTTTATGACAGCATATAAGGTTCTGGAAAAAAGAGGAAAATTTACAAATGGAAAATAATCAGAGAAATAATATGCAAACATTTCCAAGACCTAAAGGACATAAATATCCAAATAGAAATGGTTTATTATGTACCCAGCTCAATGAAGGAAAAGACACCCAACAACAAACCAACCAAAAATACCCTTACATTTTTTCATCAAATCAAGGATGAGGAAAATATCTTAAAAGCTTCTGGTGGCAGAGGGAAAGGCACTGAAGAGCAGAAATATACTCGAAGGTAGAAGTCAGTGAAGCCTTAACAATTTAGAGCAGAATATTTATCAACCTAGAATTCTGTAACTAGTCAATTCATATTTGAGGGTTGAATAGTCATTTTAAGATACCAAAGATTTCAAGAAGTTTACCTCACCTTTTCACAGAAAGCTGTTTTAAGGACATAAAGAAGTAAAGCAAAAAAAAGGAAAACACAGGAACTAAGTCACTCCAACAGATGAGGTAATGAAGTCCCATGAGGGTGGCGAGGGGACACCTTAGGGTGACAGGTAGCGTGGCACAGAGAATAACTGGTGCAGACCGGGGCCGAACACACATGACTCCTATTTCCCACACAGCAGTACACAATATCACATACTACTATACTAACAGATTTTATTTCATGGAAACTATACTGAGAGAGTATTTGAGAGTATGGTATGATTTGGTAGTGACAGGTACAAATTGAAAACTAAGAAAACAAAAATAATTATACCAGGAAAGCAGAAAGTTGTATAAGAAAGCAAAAGTAAGCCGGGTGCAGCAGTGCACACCTGTAATCCCAGTGCTTTGGGAGGCCGAGGTGGGCAGATCACAAGGTCAAGAGATCAAGACCATCCTGGCCAACATGGTGAAAGCTTGTCTCTACTAAAAATACAAAAATTAGCTGGGTGTGGTGGTGCATGCCTGTAGTTCTAGCTACTTGGGAGGCTGAGGCCAAAGAATCGCTTGAACCTGGGAGGCAGAGGTTGCAGTGAGCCAAGATCACGTCACTGCATTCCAGCCTGGTGACAGAGCGAGACTCTGTCTCAAAAAGAAAAAAAAAAAAAGAAAGCAAAAGTAATTACTCTATAGTATGCTACTTGGCACAGTAGGGAGTGAAATCATGTAAACACTGAATACTAAGCCAAATTCAAATAACTGTAGTGGAAGGACATGGAGTAGGGAGGAGGGAGATAATAGGAGACCTAAACCCTCTCCCACAATATCTGAGGTGAACAGATCGAGAATCCAGAAAAAGCAGTATAAGCATATTATAGTAAACAGTTTCAAGAATTAAAAATCCGAACGAGGGGACATAGAGGTGCTGAAGGGAGCAGAGGCAGGGAACCAATGTTTTTGTAAGTTTTTTAGCAATTCTTTTAAACCTTAAAAAAAAATCTAGGTGCATTCACCAACTATAAGTAGATTCACTACATTAAAAACAAATTGGGGCCGGGCGCGGTGGCTCACTCCTGTAATCCCAGCACTTTGGGAGGCCGAGGCGGGTGGATCACGAGGTCAAGAGATCGAGACCATCCTGGTCAACACGGTGAAACCCCATCTCTACTAAAAATACAAAAAATTAGCTGGGCATGGTGGCACGTGCCTGTAATCCCAGCTATTCGGGAGGCTGAGGCAGGAGAATTGCCTGAATCCAGGAGGCGGAGGTTGCCGTGAGCCGAGATCGCGCCATTGCACTCCAGCCTGGGTAACAGTAGCGAAACTCTGTCTCAAAAAATAAATAAATAAATAAAAAATTGGCCGGGCATGGCAGCTCATGCCTGTACTCCCAGCACTTTGGGAGGCCAAGGCAGGTGGACCACGAGGTCAGGAGTTCGAGACCAGCCTGGCCAACATAGTGAAACCTCGTCTCTACTAAATATATAAAAAATTAGCCGGGTGTGGTGGCACATGCCTGTAATCTCAGCTATTCGGGAGGCTGAGGCAGGAGAATCACTTGAACCCAGGAGGCGGAGGTTGCAGTGAGCCGAGACTGCACCACTGCACCCTAGCCTGGGCAACAGTGCGAGACTCTGTCTCAAAATATAAAACAAAAAAAATTTACTTTTATTATTTTGTTCATACAAAATATATAATGAACTATAAAGTACAAGGAATAATAAAACATCCATGTACTTACCATCCAGCTAAAAAACAAAATACCATTGTCACTGTGAAATTCCATGAGCCCCTCCCCTCTATCACAGTTGAAATACACACTCTCTTATGCAGCAATCTCACTATTAGCCTAGACAGACTTGCAAAAGCAGGCCAATACATGTAAACCTGCAAACAATATGAATGTCTATTAAAAGGAAGACAAAATAAATACGGAATGGCCAAATGACAATAAAATACGTGAGGCTGTTTTTTTTCGTTTTTTTTTGCTTTTTCTGTTTGAATTTCTACATAGCTAGAGAAAAAGTGTTCCTTTACTTCTTTCCTCTAAACTCCTATGTGACTTATAGTGTACCTAACAATTTAGAACAATGTTCACTATCTGGCTTGTGTTGAAGCGTTTCACTTGTCTTCTTCCTACATAAAGCCACTAGCTCCCTGAAAGCCTTGTCCTAGACTTCTTATCCTATACAGCACTCAATCATCTGGCACAACAAACACTTTGCAGAAGTAACATGCATTAATTGTAAAAAATTAAAATATTCCACAGAATTAAACTGCTCTGAATTCCTATCCTCAGAAATGACAGTGATTAGTTTGGTGTGTAGTCATCCAATTTTTCTATGTATATGTTTAAAAAAATTTTTTACAGAATAGTCACACTACACAAATAGTATACAATTGTTTATTTTTATTTTTATTTTTTTCTCTAATAGAGCCAGTCCAATAATTGCTATTTATTTATGAGATGGTCTCACTCTGTCACCAGCCTAGAGTACAGTGGTGCAATCACAACTCACTGCAGCCTTGAATTCTTGGGCTCAAGCAATCCTCCCATCTCAGTCTCCAGACGAGTTAGAACTACAGGTGTATACCACCACGCCCAGCTACTTTTTTTTTTAGGAGACGTGGGGGCAGTGGTGATAGAGATAGGGTCTTGCTATTTTGAAATTCTGGGCTCAACTGATCCTCCAGCGTTGACCTCCAGTAGTTAGAACTACAGGTGCACAACACCATACTCAGCTTTTTTTGGGGGGAAGTCAGGCGGGGGTAGAGATAGGGTCTCAGTACATTGCGAAGACTGGTCTCAACCTGGGCTCAACTTCAGCCTCAGTCTCCCAAAGTACTGGAATTACAGGCATGAGTTATAGGCATGCCCGGCCCCAACTTTCTAATGACAAGACTCTTAATATGCTCTGAATCAGCATAAAAAGGAAAAAAAAAAAAAAAAAAAAAAAGACTCCATTAAATTAAAAAAAGTGGGGGAGGAACAGAACTTATTCTAGTTGCATTAGCCAAAGAGGGTCCAGTCCTTTTATTCCTCCCTCATATTCTCCACCAAGAGATAGGAATAAAGTCTTAGTCCTAAGATACAGACAGTAAGAACACGGGCCTTAAAGCTGATATGCCTGGTCACAGATGCAGCTCACAGATACTTCAACCTACTAGTTGTGTGATCTTCGGCAAATTCCTTAACCTCTTTGTGCCTTGGTTTCTTTTTGTTAAATGAGGATAATAGTAGTACATACTCATAGAGGTGTAGTAAAGATTATATGAGTAAAAAACAAGCAAACTGCTTAACACAACATTTGTCATATAGTAAATGATCAGTAAAGATCAGCTATTAATACTACCTATTACTGCAGTTTGGATATCATTAAGTGTTTTACGGCTTTAGGGTACAACTCATAATGGATTTTGCCAGTCTCCTAAACTGTCATCTTACCTTGGCACCAGCCAATTCCTTCATCATGAAAAGAGTATCATCAGCTCGTTCATCGTCATCATCATCATAATTTGGGGAGGGAGCTCCCTCTGCTCCTTGCCTCAACAGGCTGCCACTCCCTCTAGGATCAAACGGATCTACCACGATGGGTTCAGTACCTTTAATTTCACATCGGCAGAAAGGACAGCCCTGACCTTCTGATTCCTGCAGAAGAAGCAACAAATAGTAACGGATGCATCTGAAAATACTTAAAATATTAATCTACTAGAAAATACATCTCCTAGACATTTTTAAAAAGTAAAGATTAAACCTAACCCCAGAAGCCAGGCCACCCCTTATATCAGTAAAGGAGATATAATACCCAATTCTCCAAAGTGATTACATAGCTGAAAAAAGTCACCGTTTAGATCCATACCTGCCAGGATGTAAGACAGGATGTGCACATGAGGTGTCCACAGGGCTCAATCTTTACATCCTTATCATTTTCAGCACATATTTTACACAGTTGGAATGTGGAGCCCATCTCACAGTATAATTCATATTGTTCCTTTGATTAAAAAAAATTAAGAGACTATTAATTGAATACATGAATAACTGCAACTGTAAATGTTAACAACAGAAAAAGTGAAGACTTGTTTCCTATACAAATTTTGCTTATATAAAAATGTCACAACAGTGGTTTATTTTCTCCTATTAAGCCAGAAAGCATCTAGTCTGGGTCCTATTTTAAGCTCCTCGGTTTAAAATGAAACCACATACATACAAATTCATTAACCTAGTCAATGAGAAACAAACAAACAAAAAACTAACTCTCAATTCAATTAACATGTTCCAATCACTTAATTCAATTATGCTATAAGTTCTATACAGGATATACAAAAGCTTATCTCCAGTGATATGGTTATAATGTGAAACAAAACTCACCTGGGTCACTTTGATATGGTCTTGGGGAGTTGGTTCACATAAGCCAGTCAGATCAGGATTCTGATTTCGTCCATCAGGAAACAAATAGCTGTAAAGAGTAACCAATCTTGGGTTTTACTGAAGCCAATTTACCAGTGCTTGCTAACATAGACAGATGGTATCTAGCAGTTCCTCCATTCTAAAAGGGCAACTTGGTATAAGTATAAAGATAAATCTTACTTCAAAAAAATAAATACTTCCAAAAAATAATACTTCAAAAAAATAAATAACACAGAACAGTTCAAAGATATTCTTCAAAAACTGTTATTCCTTATCAAAGTAACAATGCCATAGGCTCTATCTTTTAATCAAGGGATTGGTTAGCAAATCTTTTCTGTAAAGGGCCAGATAGAAAATCATTTGCGATTTGTAGGCCACGTTAGTCTGTGTCAATATTCTTCTCTGACTGGCTTTTTTAAAATGACTCTTAGGAAAAATTATCTTGGCTTCTAGGGAGAACAAACAGGTGGCCCACGAGACATAGTTTACCAACCCATTTTTAATCAATGGATGGTCACCAGATATAAATTCTTTTTTATTTTTTAAAGACACATTCTTATTTTTTGAAGTTGCAGCGATCCATCTCGGCTCGCTGCAATCTCCACCTCCCGGGTTCAAATGATTCTCCTGCCTCAGTCTCCCAAGCAGCTGGGATTAGAGGCACCAGCCACCACATCTGGCTAATGTTGTATATTTTTAGTAGAGACAGGGTTTCGCCATGTTGGTCAGGGTGGTTTTGAACTCCTTTTTTTTTTTTTTAATTTTTATATATCAAAAAAATTTATTTTATTTATTTTATGTTTTTTTAAAGACGGGGTTTCACCATATTGGTCAGGCTGGTCTTGAACTCCTGACCTCAGGTGATCTGCCTGCCTTGGCCTCCAAAGTGCTTGGATTATAGGTGTGAGCCACCACGCCCAGCCAGTTTTGAACTCCTAACCTCAGGTGATCCAACTGTCTCGGCGTCCCACAGGCGTTAGCCACTGCACCTGGCCTAAATTCTCTTTTTATTTTTTTGAAATGAAGTCTTGCTGAGCTGCCCAGGCTAGAGTGCAGTGGACAATCTCAGCTCACTGCAACTACCGTCTCCTGGCTTCAAGCGATTCTCCTGTCTTAGCCTCTCAAGTAGCTGGGATTACAGGCACCCACCATCATGCTCAGCTAATTTTTGTATTTTTAGTAGAGATGGGGTTTCACCATGTTGGCCAGGCTGGTCTTGAACTCCTGACCTCAGGTGATTCACCTGCCTTGGTCTCCCAAAGTGCTGGGATTATAGGCATGAGCCATCACACCCGGCTCTAAATTCTTAAACTCCATTTGTGTTTGATCAAAGACCTGAAATATCTTTATTTACAGGTTTAAGAAAAGGAGAGAAACCAATTTAAAAGCAGTGTAACAAGATACAAATTAAGCCACTGAGATCATCTACCAGGGAGATCCACAGTTTCTAGCATCAAACTGTTCTGACATTTGGGGCAGCACTTATTTCAGACCCAATACTATCTTAAGTAAAAGATAATGGATAATATAAAATATATTTTCCTAACCACTTTAAAACACAAGCTAGTTTTCTGCCACTTGGTTAACTGTATTTTTAGCGTTTACCAACTGATAATCAATTTGAATTCTCAAAGGAGTAACAATTCTGGAATAAATAAAGACTTAGTTATAAATAGCAGCATGGGTTACAGAAGTCCAAGGCCTGAAGAAATACTGCTGAACAAAAATGAAGTGAGGATGAAAGCAGATGAAGGCCACTGAGGCCTTCGGCCATTAGGAACCCTGAATCACTTAAATGCCGGCTAGTTAAATAATTGGTCAAATATCCTGCTAATCTGTATATTACAAAACCTAACATAGGCTTAAAAATAAGTTAACATTTGGAAAAAGAAAGACAAAGTTTACTTATAGTGACAACTCAAGCGGCAGATAATAATTTCACTCATGGAATCCCTAACTCATGGAAAAACAAAAGTCTTCCAGAGCTTGAAGGTCAAATTGATATCATCTGTTAGTAGTTTCCTAAATCAATCTGTAGAATAAACCTGAAATAAAGTCATTGATGATGAGGTTTTACAGCCGCTAAGCTCCTAGACTCCAACAGATAGTAGGCAGTAGGTACTCACAAGCCTTCCCTGAAGCCATCAATCAGTGCTTGGAAGAGAGGTTTATTGTGAGGGATTGTCTGAAGAATGTTCCCATCAGCAGTAACATACCCAATAGCCCACTGACCCAGACGAGTACAGCTCAGCCGGAAGATGTAACTATGAAAAGAGATAAACAGAAGCTTTAGTAGATTATGCTGGTATTAGGGTGGAAGGCAGAACAAGTTACAGACAAAAATCAAAAGGACCGTCAAGAATAACTTTTTTTTTGAGACAGAGTCTGGCTGTCAGCCAGGCTGGTGTGCAGTGGCACAATCTTGGCTCACTGCAACCTCTGCCTCCTGTGTTTAAGTGATTCTCCTGCCTCAGCCGCCTGAGTAGCTGGGACTACAGACATGCGCCACCATGCCTGGATAATTTTTGTATTTTTAGTAGAGACAGGGTTTTGCCATGTTGGCCAGACTAGTCTCAAACTCCTGATCTCAAGTGATCTGCCTGCTTCGGCCTCCCAAAGTGCTGGGATTACAAGCGTGAGCCACAGTGCCCAGCCAATAATAACTTCTGAGCTTTAAGTCAGTGACAAGTAAAAAGAAAGAATATATTTAAAAAAAGAGAGTAACTGCTTCCATGAGTCCACTCCAGAAGCAAAAGACACATAAACTCAATTCTTTTCTGTTATTGTTGTTGCTTTCAAGACGGAGTCTTGCTCTGTTGCCCAGCCTGGAGTGCACTGGAGCAATCCTGGCTCACTGTAACCTCCACCTTCTGGGTTCAAGCGATTCTCCTGCTTCAGCCTCCCAAGTAGCTGGAATTACAGGCGCCCACCACCATGCCTGGCTAATTTTTGTATTTTTGGTAGAAACAGGGTTTCACCACGTTGGCCAGTCTCAAAACTCCTGACCTTGTGATCTGCCCACTTTCGGCCTCCCAAAGTGCTGGATTACAGGCATGAGCCACCATGCCTGGCCATAAACTCGATTCTTAAGTGGCCTGAAAACATTTATCAAATCATAGCCTCTGAATTAAGTCAATACCTCTGATAAACAGCAATCCTACTGCAGAATCTTGGCCACTGGGAAACTAATAAAGGCCATGTTTCTTCTATTCTAGCAGAAGTCTCAAGATAACAAAATTCAAGAGAACAAACTTCTTTGCTTCATTGCACTGACCTGCCAGGTTTGTGAATGAATTTCTGGAGCCGAGCTTTCACTTCGTCATATGTCAAAAATGCCATGTAACCAGGATGAGTTACAGCAAGGCTGTTCCAATTCCTGAGCAAAGAGGACCAGGGCTAAAGAAACGAGATCAATCACAGACTATTCAGGTCAGACATACAACCAACTCAGAGAGCCATGAGAAACAAACAAAAACTAACTCTCAATTCATTGTTAGAAATTTTTACTTATACCATCACTCAGAGGAAAGACACATTTTTGGGAGATTAAAAACTCTAAAAAGCAGCCCGGCACAGTGGCTCACACCTGTAATCCCAGCACTTTGGGAAGCCGAGGAGGGCAGATCATGAGGTCAAGAGATCAAGACCATCCTGACCAACATGGTAAAAACCTGTCTCTACTAAAAATACAAAAATTAGCTCGGTGTGGTGGCATATGGCTGTAGTCCCAGCTATTCAGGAGACTGAGGCAGGAGAATCGCTTGAACCTGGGAGGTGGAGGCTGCAGTGAGCTGAGATCACGCCACTGCACTCCAGCCTGGTGACAGAGCAAGACTCCATCTCAAAAAAAAACAACTTCTGAAAAGCTATGAAGAAAATAATATATCCTTATAGGGAGAAACTTAACATACAAAATGAAAACTCTAGAATTTGTAAAGCAGCTCTAATTAACAGTAGTGAGGTTGAACAACAGCAAACAGAAAACCAGGATAGAGCCTACATGTGCAAATATTAAGTTCCAAATAAATGTGTATGCAAATTGGCACAGACACATTGGAGAAAGAATTATTTTTAGAGAAAGACAGGAATTGTTTTTGAAGCATCTAAACATCTCAATATTAACAGTTAAGAATTTCAATAGGCTGGGTGCAGTGGCTCATGCCTGTAATCTCAGCAATTTGGAAGGCCAAGGTGGATGGATCACCTGAGGTCAGGGTTTCAAGACCAGCCTGGGCAACATGGTGAAACCCCATCTCCACTAAAAATACAAAATTAGCCAGGCATGGTGGCACGTGCCTGTAGTACCAGCTATTTGGGAGGCTGAGGCAGGAGAATCACTTGAACCTGGGAGGTGGAGGTTGCAGTGAGCTGAGATTGCATCATTGCACTCCAGCCTGGGCAAAGTGAAACTCTGTCTCCCAAAAGAAAAAAAAAAAAAGAATTTCTATAAAACAGTTGCAACACACAAATATCCAATATCAGAAAACTAATATATTCATATTCTGGTCATTCTACAACATTAAAATGATACAAAAGAATATTCAATAACAAGGAAAGATATGAGAAGAAGAAAGCAGGTGGTATAGCTGTCATTTTCATTATATATACATATACACACATATTTTTTTTAATACGAGTTAGTTTTAATCTTTTTTGGCACAGTTTCTAAAATGAATTGAAATATTTTCATACGGACAAAAACTCCAAATGTTATTTTTATTTAAAAAGCTTTCTCTTCAGAAAAGTAGCAGTAACCAGGTTAGTCAATTTTTTAAGTATCCTACCTGAAAGAGTCGTGTAAAGATGTCAAATTCAAACACTGAAATATAATCATTACAGGTCAGATCAATAGTGGATTTCAGAGCCATGGCTTCCAGCCCAGAACTGATGGGATGTACTTCATGTAGAGCCTGTCGAAAGCTCTTCCAAGGGACTATTGTCCTGGGGTGGGGGTGGAGAGGAGGCACAAAGTGAAATAACAGAGATAATTCCAGGCATCACCATAATCAAAGGAAAGAAAGAGAGCTACATTAAGCTCTCAATACCAATATCAATTCTCTTAATTCAAAATATAGGTCAGCTTCTTCAAGAACAGAAAGGGGGCCAGGGGCTGTGGCTCATGCCTTTGGCAGGCCTAGCACTTTGGGAGGGCAAAGCAGGCAGGCTGCTTGAGCCCAGGTTTGGAGACCAGGCTGGGCAAAAGGGTAAAACCTTGTTTCTACAAAAAGAAAAAAAAGAAAAAAAAAATTAACCAGACTAATTAGTTCCAGTTACTCTGGAGGTTGAGGTGGGAGAATCGCTTGGACTTTGGAGGTGGAGGCTGCAGTCAGGCAAGATCACACCACAGCATTCCAGCCTGGGCAACAGAGTGAGGACTTGTCACAAAAAAAAGAAAGAAAAAGAATAAATAATTTACAAATAACGACTGGGTGTAATGTCATCCAGGGTAGTAGTCTCAAACTTCTGGCCTCAAGCAATCCTCCTGCCGTGGCCTCCTAAAGTGCTGGGACTACAGAGTAAGCCACTGTGCCTGGCCAAAAATAAAGGCCTTTAAAGAGAAACTTGGGCCTAGTGCAGTGGCTCATGCTGGTAATCACAGTACTTTGAGAGACCAGGGAGAAAAATTATTCGAGGCCAGGAGCTTGAGACCAGCCTGGGTAACACAGCAAAATCCTATCCCTGCAAATTAGCTGGGCCTGGCAGTGCAGACATGTAGTCCCAGCTATGTGGGAGAACTGCTTAAGCCCAAGAGTTTGAGGTTGCAGTGAGCTATGATTAACTGTACCACTGCACACCAGACTGGGCAACAGAGCAACACCGTCTCAAAAACAAAAAACAAAAAACAGGCCGGGCGCGGTGGCTTAAGCCTGTAAACCCAGCACTGTGGGAGGCCGAGGCGGGTGGATCACGAGGTCAAGAGATCGAGACCATCCTGGTCAACATGGTGAAACCCCGTCTCTACTAAAAATACAAAAAATTAGCTGGGCATGGTGGCGCGTGCCTGTAATCCCAGCTACTCAGGAGGCTGGGGCAGGAGAATTGCCTGAACCCGGGAGGCGGAGGTTGCGGTAAGCCGAGATCGCGCCATTGCACTCCAGCCTGGGTAACAAGAGCGAAAAACTCCGTCTCAAAAAAACAAAAACAAAAACAAAAAAAAAACACCCAAACCAAACAAACAAACAAAAAACCACAGAGCAAAACCCAGAATATTTATACTTAAAAATATAAGTTTGACTCATAAATCAACTGATATAATATATATAGACAATATGACAAAATGGAAAAGCCACAGCCTGGGAGAAGATATTCGTAATTTAAGTAACTAACAAAGAACTAGTCTCCTATAATAAGAGGAAGATAAACCACTCAATAAGAAAATGGGTAAATCAGAAATTGGAAGAGGCAAGTCAGAATAAGAATCTTGACTGGTCGTAAAGGTGAAAGGAAGCTCAATCTCCCTTCTCATCTGGGAATATAAAGCAAAATATTATACCAATTCACATCACCAGTGTTAGCCAAATTGTGGGGCTACTGAAAAAATAAACTGGTACACCACTTTGGAAAGAAATTAGGCAATACTTACCAAAGCAAAAAATGTGAAACCCCAAGACTTAGCAATTCTACTCCTATGTATGTAACTAAAGACAATTTCTTGCATATGAAGACAACTTAGATATTATTCACTGCTGATAGCAAATAATGTGAAATGTACATGTCCATTAAAAGCAGAATGGACGGTGAGAGAAATGGAAGAATATACAAAGAGCATGGGTTTCAACTTAATCTGCAAAGCTATTTCTTAAAAAAAAAAAAAAAAAAAATGAACATGGCAAAAACTGTTACCATTTAACCAAAGCTAGGAAATATGTACATATGTATTACTTTTCTCAGAATGTTCCCAAATTTTAAATATTTCATTGGTAGAAAAGTAAAGATAAAACTCATAAGCTTTAGTTTTTCATAGTTCAAATTCATTATTCTGAGACTTACTTTTCCCCAAAAGCTTTTCTCCAAAATTCCGCAGCATCTGCTTTAGTAATCCGAAATGTGTCTCCTTGAAAGAGTCCACTTGGAAAGATTCCTTTTAGTTCTGCCAGCATGTGGCTGAAGATGAGGGACAATTTGGTTAAGTTTCGCCTATGAATGATCAGAAATGTGATAATTAAACACATAAAATTATTCTTATTTTAAATACACCAAATTCACCATACAAGATGTATAGTTGACATGAATATTAAAATACATTTAGAAAGAACCTCTTCAAATATTCTTTCGGGGCAGTATTATTCAAGCATATACAAAACTAGAGAAGAGATAAGTAATGTGCTGTTGATATTACATACTCTATGTTACTGTTATTTTTGTTTAAAGAAGGGTTTTAGAAAGTTTTTGCTCTAAGATCATATGAAAGATACAAACACAATGGAAGAAATATTGCTGCATTCTCTACCTCCACTCACATCTCCTCCATTCAAATAGATGTTATGTAGTAAATAATAGAAAAAAAATTAGTCATAAAGCTTTTAATCTTGAATTAATAAAGGTTAATAACTCCAAGAATGAACATGGACAAATTTACTTTTTTAGGATGACTGGTAAGAGAATTCAATAAACAAGTGTAAGAACTTACACACAGCTATAATCACTCTATCACACACACACACAAAAAGTTAGGAAACCAATATATTATTTCCTGCTTTGCAGGTGCATTTATCAAGTATATTTATCATCATATAACATATCTAAATTAAAGATAAAAAGTCTTAATAAAAAGAACTGTTTAAGCATCCAGACCGAATCAATGTTTTCTTTCACTAAATTTTACCTGAGTACTCCTTTTCCTTTACCAAAATTGAGATGCTAACATCCAAAGCACACAAAAATTTCTACATAACTTCATATGCTACCGTTAACAATTAGTTAACTTTGTTCTTGCAACCTGTTTAATGACTATTTTATAAGGATGTCACACAGGCCAGGCATGATGGCTCATGCCTGTAATCCCAGAACTATGGGAGGCCGGGGCCAGCGGATCAATTGTGGTCTGGAGTTCAAAACCAGCCTGGCCAACCTGGTGAAACCCTGTCTCTACTAAACATTACAAAAATTAGTTGGGCATGGTGGTATGTGCCTGTAATCTCAGCTACTCAGGAGGGCTGAGGTAGAAGAATCCCTTGAACCTGGAAGGAAGAGGTTGCAATGAGCTGAGATTGTGCCACTACACTCCAGCTTGGGCAACAAAGCAAGACTCCATCTCAAAAAAGAAAAAAGATGTCACATTTAACACACCAGATGTAGTCTCTACTTTTCCATGTATACTTTGATCAGATTACCTTTGTTCTCTTTAATGCTACTGCCACAGAAACAGGACACAGATGATACATGTACTATTACACTAAACCAGCTACTGATTACACGTGTCCATTTTCCCTTGTCCCAATAATTTGTATTTATGTATTCAAAAATCTAATCTTGTCATACCAATGGACTATAAAATTTCAAGTCAAGGCTGGGCGTGGTGGCTCATGCCTGTAATCCCAGCACCTTGGGAGGCCAAGGCAGGCGGATCCCAAGGCCAGGAGTTCAAGACCAGCCTGACCAACATAGCGAAATTCTGTCTCTACTAAAAATACAAAATTAGCTGGGTGTGGTGGCATGCACCTGTAATCCCAGCTACTCAGGAGGCTGAGGTAGGAATATAGCTTGAACCTGGGAGGCAGAGGTTGTGGTGAGCCGAGATCTCACCACTGAACTCCGGCCTGGGTGACAGGGCAAGGCTCCATCTCAAAAAAAAAAAAAAAAAAAAAGAAAAAAGAAATTCAAGTCAAATCGTGATCAATTACTGATTGCCTAACAATCCTCTATTAGGAACAGAGTTTTCTTTTTTAATGCTATACTGGAAGGTCACCATCAATGCTATCTTTGTCTTTTGTAGATAAAATACAGCACCGAATTATCCAAGTCGCTATATCCCTAACTTGTTAGAACAATGCGATTGAAATCTTTTTTGGCCAGGCACAGTGATTCATCCCTGTAATCCCAGCACTTTGGGAAGTTGAGGCAGGTGGATCACCTGAGGTCAGGAGTTTGAGGCCAGCCTGTCCAACATAGTGAAACCCCATCTCTACTAAAAATACAAAAATTAGCCGGGCATGGTGGTGCATGCCTGTAATCCCAGCTACTCGAGAGGTTGAGAGAGAGGTTGCAGTAAGCAGAGATTGCATCATTGCACTCCAGCCTGGGCGACAGGCTGAGACTCAATCTTAAGCACTTATCCAATCCTTAAGGCCCATTAACTGTTTTTTCCCTAGCACTATGAGATCCTTTGATTATTGTTTAACAGAACGTCTACCATTTACCAAAGAAAAAATACACAAAGATCAAGAATATATCACAAATGAAATATGAAATAGGTAACTTGAAAGAAACCCTGCAACCCACAAATTAATCCCAATGAATTTAATTTCCAGTGTTCAGCAGGACCCTAGACTGCGCGATCAGCACCTTGAGGCTCAGACATCTACATAACATTCTATCAAGTAGTAATCTTTCAACTAAATTATTGAGAACCTACTATGTGTGTGAAGAATTATGCTAAACAGTATAGCAGGATAATGAAAGAGATGACAGAAAGAATATATATCATACTTCTGAGGTTATACCAGAGCCCTTTCTGAAGCAAACAGGTTTGAATTCTACCTCTTCCTGAACACTATCTTCCCCTGAGTTTTGTCTGCAGTGTTGACTTTGCTTGGTTCTCCTACTTCCTTTCTTTCTTGGCTTTTCTCCCCATCCTCTTAAGCAGTATTTCCCAAGAATTTGCTCTCTGCTATTTTCAGTTCTTTCTCCATGTACTCTCTTCTCTTCCTTTGCAATCTCAGGGCTTCAAACCCTGAGCTTTAGTAAACAATGCCCAAATCTTAGGCCTCGGTAGTTTTTTCAACAATCTACCACATTTCCTCCACTCAAATGCTAGCACCTCAAAGCAACATGTTCAGAATGAAACTAAGCTTTCTTAAATCTGCTCTTTCTTCATGTTCTTTATTTCTGTATTTAATGATAACACCATCTTACTTCCCACAAGTTCAAAACCTGAAGAATCTTCTTAGCTTCTTTCATTTCACTTGTTCTCCATATCTGATTTGTCAATTTGCTGCCAATCTGTGGTCATTCCTACCTTCGACTTATGTGGTATTGGTGTAATGCAAACTCCTCGGTAATAATTAAAATTAAAATTCCAGTCTTGGTCTTCAGTGTCTCTTTTTAAACAGGTCCAATTCTTATGACATTTAACTGCCTTCTGAAGAAGGGAACAAATAAACAATCAATGTTCACAGCCAATGGGATAAAATCCAAACTCAGCTTGGATTTTAAGGCTTTCCATTGACCTGGATCTAACCTATCTTGAATTCCCTACCTCAGGTGATCCACCCGACCTGGCCTCCAAAGTGCTTGGATTACAGGTGTGAGCCACCATGCCCAGCTCTAACCTATCTTTCTAACTAACTTCTTAGTTCTTCACTAGTATGTTCTAGCCAAACCAAGTACTTTATCTTTTCTTATACCTGTCACTCTTCATTTCTTGGCCTCTGCCTATCTGTTTCTCTGGTCCAAAATAAGACCCAGCTTAAATGACATTTCTTTATGAGCCAGCTAGACATAATAAAATGCTGAACAACCCCAGCATTTTCTCTGCAGTTCTCTTACATCATCTGAACCCATTTTGCACTATAGCTATTTGTGCACACAATGGCTGAATCTATTTCTGACTTGTGGTTTTTCATAACCCTTGGGGCAAGACAAATGGCAGAAATTTATAATGATCGACATACCTTCAGAAAACATTTGAGTGCCTACTATGTGCTAGGCTCAGGGTGAATACAACAATGAACAAAATAAAATTATTGCTTTTATGATATGTACATTCCCACAAGAATATATCAGATGGTAGGAGAAAAGTGCTGTGAGGAAGAATAACACAGAGTATAAGAAATGCAGGGTTGCTGCTTAGGGAGGGTAGTCTTAGAGGTCTCTCCAAGTGTTACTTTTTAAGCTGAGTCTGAAGTGAATACAGGGAGTGGGTCTTGGAATAACTGGACCATGTTGTTATCTTTGGCTGTCAAGATAATTTTCTACTGAAAATCTACCAGGTATCTAGCACTATGTTGGATCAAAGATAAAATATGCATACCAAAATAACAAGACACAGAAAGCATTTTTATTTTGTGAAGTTAAGCCACACACAAAAAATTTATTGACCACAAAGATGTAATGGTACCAGGTACCTAAGAGTAGTTCCAAGTGCTGACTGAAATAGTTACAGGAAATCAATTAAAGACATTTTCCTACTCAAGAATGCATCCCTCCAAAAAGCCCGCTTACATTTCTTAAAACCATCAGAGATGTCCACTGTAAGCATCATATTTCTTTTTTTTTTTTTTTAAGACGAGGTTTCACCATGTTGGCCAGGTTGGTCTTGAACTTCTGTCCTCAAGTGATCCACCCACCTCAGCCTCCCAAAGTGCTGGGATTACAGGTGTGAGCCACCGCGCCCAGCCTGCATCATATTTCTTAAAAGGAAATAATGAATTTACAAAAGTCTATGGGTCAGAGCATTTTGTAACCAATCTGAGTTGCAATTCTGTTCAACAACATTTTAAGACCTGAGGCTTATGGTTCAGTGTTGACAGTATATGGGGCTGAACTTAATTGGCAGAATCTGCCTTAACATGTAAAAAGAATGAGGCATTATAGACATTTGCGTTTACATGGTAAGCAGTACTTTAAAAAATTCTGCCAGTAGTTACTTCAATTTATATAGTGTGTTCTAACAATTCTCCAAAGATCCACAAAGGAAAACAACTGTTCAATTTTTCATAAATGCCCTGAAGACAGAACTTTTCTTTCTTCAGTTCCGGTAGCAGCAAGCAGTACAGGCTTTTCTTTAACACAGTAACACAGTGATTGAGGAAGAAGGTCATCCATCTTCTACTGCTTTCAGCTCTAACCTTCTACATCTAAGTAACTGCAAATTCTACTCAGCAGCTTCCATCTTCCTCTTCTCTTCTGCTCTCACAACTTCCTCATAATCAAATGCTGATTCGGTAAGCAGCGTCATTTTTTTTTTAATTCAAGAC